ATGTGAGATATACCGGTTCTTCTAAGTTTTTAAGCTTTTATTTTCAAGGAAAAGTGACTGTGTAAAAAAATAAGAGACAAAAAGATTATTTAACCGTCATTTTCACACGTTAAAGCTTAATTTGTTTTATCTGTTAATACAGTTTTATTTTTTAACATTGTTAGTTTTAATAATTAATAGTAAAGGTTTAAATTTGGTTTTTTTACCGCCTCTTCAATTACGTTACTCTTCTCCCAAGATCTTTCCTTGGGAACAAATTCTGTCAAATCATCTTGGGAATATTCTGGTACACTGGAGTTGGTTCATCCCAACCTTTTCCTCGGGAACCTGTTGACAGGGTTAATTAGGTTCATCCCCACTCTTTTCTTTAAGTATCTTCTCGCAATGCATATTGCATAGAGATCACTTCCTCACGATGGATATTATTGCAGACAGGATTGTTTATCAGGTTGCATAATCCTCACGATGGATATTATTGCAGACAGGATTGTTTATCAGGTTGCATAATCGATGGATATTATTGCAGACAGGATTGTTTATCAGGTTGCATAATCCTCACGATGGATATTATTGCAGACAGGATTGTTTATCAGGTTGCATAATCCTCACGATGGATATTATTGCAGACAGGATTGTTTATCAGGTTGCATAATCTACTCTAGCAACATTTCTTTCTTCTCAATCTTTCCGTGTTGCTTCAAGTTTCTCCTCTTCAATTTTCATCTCTAGAGTTTGTATGAATGCATGCATTACTTCAAGTTTCTCATCCAAGGTTCGTTTAGTGATCTCCATTTACTTCATTTTCTTCATCATTAACGTGAACTCTGCTATATGTACACCACAATTTGAGTCTTGTTGGATCAAGGACCGATGAATCAATAAATAATAAATTTATTACACATTTTCTTGGTTTCATGAACTTCCACATTTGTATCCAGTCCACGTCAAAATAAAGTAAATTGCTGTATCCAGTCCAGGTCAAAATAAAGTAAATTGCTGTATCCAGTCCACGTCAAAATAAAGTAAATTGCTGTATCCAGTCCACGTCAAAATAAAGTAAATTGCTGTATCCAGTCCATGTCAAAATGAAATAAATTGTTGTATCCAGTCCAGGTCTAAATAAATTAAATTGCTGTATCCAGTCCACGTGAAACTGAATTAATTTGCACCTATGATTTAAATCTTATATGTTTTCAATCCTGAATTTTTTTTATTAAAGAGCTAATATTGAAATGAACATAAATTTTTTGAATTTTCAATACGTAGCCGGATAAATTTGCTACCATACTTGTGTATCAAATCAAAACTTGAAGAGCTACGAGGTCAAAAAGTTGTACCAGTAAATTTTACTTTCTCCTCCTGTCTATCAGGGAGTCAGTCACAATTTTGTGACAAGTTTCTTCAATTTTCCATTTCAGGGAAAAAATTGTGTTTTAAATTGTGATAAGAGTGAAAAATATAAACAATTAGTTTACGGATCAATTTTTTGACGTTTGCATTAAACATTAACAACAATTTTGTTTTATAAAATTATTACAATACAGTTTATTACAGATCATAAAATCTTTTTTTATGAAAGTTAAAATGATGTGAAGTTTTGATTTTCATCTTTACACCGTCTTTTGAATAATTAATTGTATATAATTTGAAATTTGTTGACAGAACCGATGAATCAATGGATGATAAATTATTTAAAGATTTATTTTTCAACTGATTGTCAATCAGAGGAATAATTTCCTTTGACGCCCGTCCCGTCTGTACTCTATACCTGTAGTTTATACCGTGTACAGACGATATTCAGACTAATGATAGATAGAAAGATAGAGAGATAGAAAGAAAGATAGATAGATAGATAGATAGATAGATAGATAGATAGATAGATAGATACATAGATAGATAGATAGATAGATAGTTAGATAGATAGATAGATAGATAGATAGATAGATAGATAGATAGATAGATAGATAGATAGATAGATAGATAGATAGATAGATAGATAGATAGATAGCAGCAGCAACAGAAATATTATATAGTAGTATAAGTAAGGACCAGAAGTATGTTTAAAAAACAAAATTAGAAATGGTTAAATGAATACTTAGATGGATGGGAAAGAAGATGGTTGGATGGATGAAAAATGGTTTGATGGATTTATAGATGTGTAGATGGATGAGACAATGGTAGGATGGATGGATGGTTAGATGGATGAGAGGATGGTTTGATGGATGGATAGATGAGTGGATGGATGAGAAGATGGAAGGATGGATGAATAGATGGCTGGGGGGCTGGGAGGATGGTTTGATGGACGTTAATCTGTTGATTTGGAATACGGTTAATCCTCAGGAGTCAGGGAGCGTCGGAGTCAAGATATCTTTAATCCTGCACAGCGCAACCCTTCATCACAGCTGCTCATCACCCCAGCCCAGCGGTCATCTTCCAGGCCCGGCTCGAGTAGGTTAACCGTCCGACAGACCGGCGGGCCGGTACACCTTGGCAGAGGTATTTAATCCCGACCCTGCTTTGATTTGTTAACAGTTGTCTACCAACACTTCTACAGTTAACATCATGGAAACCAAACTTTCATTTGGAATTGATTTCATCCTCTCCCCTGAATGCGGAGCAAGTGATATAGAGGATACAAGCTTTGATGATTCCCGGAGCAATTCGTCCTCTCCAGACTATGCTCAAGAGATGAGAGCCTCATCCACCTCGCCCCTAAACCTTCCATTCTTCCATCCCTTCAGGACTGGTTCTGTATCTCCTCCTTCAGTTCCAATGTTCAGAAGTTCTCCGTTCTATCCCCAGCTCCCACCTCTACCAGGAACCCTGAGAAAGCACAGATCTGATCGTAAGCCTAGAACTCCGTTCAGTAGTTCTCAATTAAATCAACTAGAGAAGAAATATATTGAAAAGAGTTATCTCTCGATTGCCGAGAGAGCAGAGTTTGCTGAGAGTTTAGGACTCTCTGAAACCCAGGTTAAAATCTGGTTCCAGAACAGACGAGCCAAGGCCAAGAGGTTGGTTGAGTGTGAAGTTTATCAGAACTCTCTTCATTCATCATCCATGCATCATATGCAGGGTGTCATCCCTCCATCCCTCATCCCAGGACTGCTGGCTGGACGAGGACTTAAATACTTTTAGATACTCGTCTTCCTTTCTTCCTTTTCTTCATCTTCTCGTCTGTGATTTACGGCTGTTCAGAGATTTTATATTTAAACAAATTTTTAGAGATTAATAATAAATTATATTTTACATAATATTATTGTTTTATTTTATACAATTGATGAACTCATAATACTATTTTTAGTATTATATTTTTAGTATTAGTTCTATAATTTATTGAAAAAATATACTGGGCTGGAAGCTGATGGGAAAATTTTCTTTTTATTGCATAATTTTGCTTTACGTCATAATCTGAAGAAATGCTAAACTTTTTAACTAATTCCGTTATTTTGTAAAATGATAGGAAAAATTTAATATGATAACAAAAAACATATTGATGATATAGTTTTTTTAGGTCTAGATCGAAGTTGTTCAAAATACAAGAAAAAGATTATTTTATATTTTTTTTAACTATGAAAGCAAGATAAAGGATTACTAAAAAAATGTTCGTTAATGATCAAGCTTCTTATGAAGGTCGTAGGTGGTCTTCGGATCGAGAGGTTTCTCTGGGATTTATAAATTTTCGGAGCTAAAGATTGATAAACATAAGTAGGATTGACAAGGAGGGGGAGGATTAAATCCGAGATGTCGCGATCTTGAAATGGGATTTAACAGATACATGTGTTGTTATTGTGTGGGTGGTCAAATCCACAACTATTATATTTTAGCGATCAATTTCTCCTCAGAATTTGAAATTAACACTTGATATTAAAAATAGTTTTGATAATTTGAAAATATAATAAAATCAGCCTTAAATTTATAACAAACAAATAATATCAGAGAAGGGAAGAAAAAACGTTTCCAAGCACATTCTTAATCTATAATATACATTTGATTTTCAGATTTGTTTATGTTTAAAAATTAAAACATTGCAAAAATTTAATTTTTAGATTAAAAGTATATTAATGTAATCCCTGTCAGTCTGTTTGAATTAATTTGAATAAATCTATATCTATTGAAAAGTTAGCAACGCTATAATATAGATATATAGTTTATATATATAACTGATAACAGTTATCTAAATCAAATCTGTATAGTATGGGGGAAATCTATAATGATAATAAAATAATAGAAACAATAATATCAATAATAATAATTAAATAGGCAATTTATCTATTTAGGAAATAAAAGAAAAAAATACAAAATGAAGTGTCTGAGGACTTCAAAATATTTCCCACAAATTCTAAAAAATGAAAATTAACGATTCATTTTTTACATTTTTGAATGTCTTGGAGGTTAAAACAATAAATTTCTATAAAGACGCAATTAGGTACAGACAAAATTGACATATTCAAACATCTTTTTAAATCATGCTGATTTTTGACGCCGCTATACAGTAATGATAAAGTGGATAGAGTAAAAACGACATTGTATAAGAATCTACTATTTTTTCATGAACTTAATGAGAACAGTTACATGCTTGCAATATTATCCCTAGTTTATATATTAAAAACTTTTCTATTTTTAAATCATGCTGATTTCTGACGCCGCAATACAGTAATGATAAAGTGGATAGAGTAAAAACGACATTGTATAAGAATCTATTCTAATATTTTTTCATGAACTTAATGAGAACAGTTACATGCTTGCAATATTATCCCTAGTTTATATATTAAAAACTTTTCTATTTTCAAACCAGCCTCAAAACATCACTATGCAAATATAGGGTGGTTCAAAAAGTATGGTTAGCAATTTAAAGTTTATTGTCCCTTTTTGTTTGGGCCAACAATTCCGATCTAGATATTTAATTATATTAGCTTTGATGATAGAAAATACAGCTTAATGCAAATCTGAGACTTGAGGCTAGTATCGAGTGTCAAATATTTATTTGAATATTTTTGAATAAAATAAAGGAAAACGATATTCCAAATATTACAAGATTATAGCACGAAATATACAAACTAGCTGTCATTTTAATACCCCCCCCTATCATATCCTTCTATCCTTCTATGCTTCTATCCTTCTATCCTTCCATCCTTCTATCCTTCTATCCTTCTATCCTTCTATTCTTCTATCCTTCTATCCATCTATCCTTAAGATTTGCAAAAAGAAAAGTTTTACAATTTACATTAAGAGAAATCATCCATATTACATATTAACACTGAAATATTGAGATCTAAATTTATATGTATTTCGTGACGCGGCTGGATTTTTTAAAATCACACTTTAAAGGCCCTAAATATAACATTTAAAAAAGTAGTTTTGCCCGGAAGAGTCAAATGTAGTGGTACGGAAGGGGAAATAGTGGTGGCTCATGGCTGCCGGAAGAGAAAAAAGCTAATATGTGGCAAGGAAGGGGAAAAAGTTGTGGCTCATGGCCGCCTGCCTTCCCCCGCTCCATATATATCTTATTTGAGAAAATAGGATCGTCTATATCTGAATAGCTGAATATTTATGTAATACAAGTCTTGGTGCTCGGCGTTGCCCGTGGGATTCTTAAAAATCGTCTAACATTATGTTTTTACTTATCTTTCAAAATCTAAGTAGTTGGCTAAAGGTAAAATAGATAAACAGTTCAATTTCACTTGTATGCTTCAAGATAAAGGAGTTGAAAATGAAGGCACTTAAAGTGGAATCTGGAAGCAAAAATAATTAATAATTCATTCATTTATTCATATATTTATTCAACTACAACTAATTATATTAATTAATTGATAGATGAATAGAATTGAAAAGATTCCCACCCCCCATATTACGGAAATACATTTTTTGACACACATGGATGCATGCACAATACATACATTATGTATGATACATATGATACATACATACATATGTGATTTATTAAGTAGACTAACTTAAAAAGTTTATTTATTCATCTATGGGGTCACCTCACCCACAAAAACGACCATCTGAAGGTTGATTATGACCTTCTGCTTTGAAAAGAATCTTTAAATGGTATACTGAATGATTTGGTTAAGATTTGAATTTATGTAAGAAAGTAACAGGTAAAAAAGTTTTTGAAAAATAAAATTCGAGAAAATATGTGTCAGGATAAAGTCACAAAATGATAGGAATTTATTTCCGGGTACTTTTTATTTTAAGGATTTTTTTCAACAGGTTTTTTTCAGTGTTAAATTTTAGGACTTTATGAGTACGCTTAAATAATATGAAGACGGGCTCGAACGGTCATCTCCTTATTCTGTTCTTAATGAGCTCGGCCCATGAATATTACATAATCATTTTAGATAAAACGACCGACATAGAAAATATGTGACCCCCCCTCCCCTTCCCATACCCCATTCCTCTAAAAATAANTGTGATCTTTAATGATTTGCGAATGTAAACGTCATTGATGTGGGATTTAGAGATGTGTGATCGTTAACGATGTGTTAATGTTAACGATGTATTAATGTTAACGATGTGTGATCGATAACGATTTGTCATCGTTTACAATTTGTGATCGTTAACGATGTGTGATTGCTAACAATGCGTAATCTTTAACGATGTCTGATCTATAACTATGTGTGAATGTTAACGATGTGTGATCGTTAACGATGGGTAATCGTTGACGATATGTGGTCGTTAACTATGTGTGATCGTTAATGATGTGTAATTGTTAACGATGTCTGATCTTTAACGATGTTTGATCGTTAAAGATGTGCTATTGTTATTGATGTGGGATAGTTAACGATGTGTGATCGTTAATGATGTTTGAGCGTTAAAGACGTGTAATAGTTAACTATGTCTGATCGGTAACGAGGTGTAATCGTTAACGATTTGTTATCGTTAACTATGTGTGATTATTACCGATGTGTAATAGGTAACGATGTGTGATCGTTAGAAATGTGTAATCGTTAACGATGTGTGATCATTAACGATGTTTAATCGTTAGTTATGAGTGATCCTTAACGATGTGTGATCGTTAACCTTGTGTGATGATTAACGATGTATAATCGTTGACGATTAACCTATACAAAAAATAGTAACCTTTGTTTTTGTTTTTTTAATGTCCGATCATAACCTTGACTGATTTGCCGGACTTTTTAATTGGGGAAAGCAGCAGAACCACGGGAATGTTCTTAACATGGTTTAAAAATTCTAAGTTGGGTGGGTTGGCTTTTATATTAATATTTCATAAAGTTTACTGTTGAAGATGATCAACAAGGGGGAGAAGATTCTGACAGATGGAGCCTCAATTAAAAGTGTAAATAGAAGATGGGTTCGAAGCGCCTGAAACGCCTAGTTTATTCAACTTTGTAATATTTTTCTTCTACAACAAATTGAAAAACAATTCAATACGATCGTTACAACACGTTCTTAGGATTGTTTTTTTTTGCTCGTTTTTCGAATATATTTTCTGTCAGGAACACAATGTTGAGAACAATAGTCAATTTTTAAAGCATTGCTATTCTCAAACTATTGTTAACCAAAAACCAATGAGCTTACTCCGTTGCAAGGTCGTTTTTGACCAAGATTTTGCCGGTGGCCAAACCAAACATGTTATACCTCCGATAGATATGTAAACAAATTTAGTTAGAAACCCTTAAAATTCGTGATTTATATATTTTTGCAACCAATTGTCAAGTAGTTTTAGCACTGTTCAATAACCTGATTATCATGAATTTACCAAGAAATAGTAAGCTCATTTTCATAAAAAAATAATTGGTTAACTGTTAATAGTTGTTAAATATTTGTTATTTTGGTTAACAACTAATTGTTAACAACTATGCCCATTTTTTACCCTGAAAGAAAATATAGGCAAAAACGACCCGAGTTAAATCTAAGTATGAATATCATAGAAATTTTGATTGTACGTCAAATGTTACCTTCATTTAACAAAGGTTTTAAAAAACTTGATAGAAAAGAATAAGTCCAAAAATAATTTAAAACTTTTTATTCTCTCTTATTAAGCTTTCAATCTTTAGGCCAGCTTAATATTTGCAACCAGTTAAAGCAAAACTTTATTAAAAAAGCACCAGCGATAAAAGTAATTTGCAAACTGTACTGTGACCCACCTGTCGGATGATAATTGACCTTCAGGGGAAAATAGGACATTTTTAAAGAAAAATTTCTAGCTGCCATCTTGTATTTAAACCTGTGGATTTTAAAACCATTTTCCAAATTTCTTCTATCAGCATTATATTATATTTAAATTAGTTTATTATCAAAGTATATTTTATCAAAGCTACACAACTTATCATAATACTTCGCTTGTTTGTCTGTTTGTTTGTATCCAATAAATACGAAACATCTGATCCAATCCGGATAACATTTTTAAATTAATTATATTTGAAAATGTACCAATTAAAAAAAAAATATTTTTACGATTAAAAATGCGACTTTCAGAGCTCCAGTTAAAAGCTAAAATTGTGTACTATTTATAAAAAAGAATTAACAATTACAAATTAAAATATTCTTCTATCCGTCTCCATTGTTCTGGGTGTTTCCTCTTCATCATGTTGACCAGCCTTCTTAGTCTTTTCTCTTCACAGGTACAACTAGGACAAAAGTTTAAAATTTAGCTTTGCAACGAACAAGAACAATACTTTACAGAACAAGATTCAGTTTTGTAACCGACTATGTAGACCAAGAATTAGAGTTTAAGATAGTTTATTGTATTGCAAACAACAAAAGTAAGATGACTAGTTGATTCAGCTTCGCAACCTGCAACTAGAACATAAAATAGAGTTTAAGATACAGCTTTGCAACCAACTAGAACAATTAGAGTTTAAGATACAGCTTTGCAACCAACTAGAACATAAATTAGAGTTTAAGATACAACTTTGCAACCAGCTAGAACAATGAGTTTAAGATTCAGCTTTGCAACCAACTAGAACAATTACAGTTTAAGATAAAGCTTTGCAACCAGTTAGGACAATTAGAGTTTAAGATACAGCTTTGTAACCAACTAGAGCAATTAGAGTTTAAGAGACAGCTTTGCAATCAACTAGAACAATTAGTTTTTAAGATACATCTTCGCAACCAGCTAGAACAATTAGAGTTTAAGATACAGCTTTGCAACCAGCTAGAACAATTAGAGTTTAAGACACAGCTTCGCAACCAATTAGAACAATTAGAGTTTAAGATGCAGCTTTGCAACCAACTAGAACAAAAATTAGAGTTTAAGAGCTTTGCAACCAAATTATACAAGATTTAAAGTATTAGAGCTTTGCAACCAACAAAAACAAGAATTAGAGTTTAAGATACAGCTTTGCAACCAATTCTATAACAAGAATTAGAGTTTTATATTTTGCTCTGCAACCAACTATATGTTAAAAGAGGAAAGGGGACAAATTCTATTCTTTAATTAAACCAAAAAAAATTTCCTTGCAATTAAAAAATACTTAAAAAATAAAAATATGCAATATTTGACCAACACAAAATCCTACTTATTTCCGCATTTTGCTGCTTGCAAGGCTTTTGGTCCCTCTTCTTTCAATTTTTTCCCGATACTGTCGCATCTCCCGATCCCGACAGCGCAGTCGACCCGCTTCCTGACCGATTCAGCTGACATATGTCGCAGAATGTTCTCGACTCCATTAGTTGGCTTGCAAGCACCAAGCCTAGAGTAACAATGATTTTTAAAGCTGCTAAAATTATGATTGATCGAAATGTAAATAACTATATATATAAGTATTTATATATTTATTTATATATACTAAAATTTCCAAGAAAAAATAATGTATATTTGAATGACTATAAACTTATGATCTTCAAAATGAAAAAAAAAATTTTGAAGGTCCAAAATACAATTATGAAAATTTTATTTTGATTTAAAAATTATAGGAATACAATTAAAATAGTAAAGATTACATTACTACGGTGCAAGGCATGAATAAAAAAACGAGGATTAAAAAAAAACGAAAAATGTACTTTTTCTGATCCAAATTCAAGCCAATTCTTTCCATGTTATTCATTTTTTTAATGGATAAAATAAGATATTTAAATTCTAGGTGAAAAGGGGGCAACGCCCCCCCTAGCTTGTACACGTCCTAGAATGCAGTGGTAAAAAGAAAACAGTAAAATGATTATCGTCTTCATTTTTTGTAATTTGAAACTTTTTTATTTCTAAAAATGTTCTCTGAACATTTTCAAGAATGCATCATGCAGTGATAACTTTTAAAAATTTACAAAGCCTGAATTAAAGACACTTTATAAAAAAAGACAAGACGAAGTTGACAATCGTTCCACTGTTTTCTGTTTTCATTACAAATGAATACTACTACTACATAATAATAATAATAATAATAATAATAATAATAATAATAATAATAATGATAATGATAATAATAATAATGATAATAATAATAATAATAATAAAAATGTCAATAAAGATAATGATAATAATATACCTATGAGGGTTTGCAGCACTATTCTCGGCAGAAAACAAGAAACAAGAAATGGTAAAACTTATATAAGATAAGTTCAACATATTGGATCTAAGTAAGATGACTAACTGACTATAATTCTGCCGGTCAATGCAACCTGTCAGAGTCGTAGGTCCAGGGATTGACCACAAATCCCCAACAAGTGCGTTTACATGGGATATATTTACTTATGCGTAATTATACTTATGCGTAATTATCTAGAGTCCACGTTCCATATAACGATATCATCTCATTACGAGGCTATCTCCATCGCTGTACATTAAAGAATTAATGTCTGGCACAATGTTTGAAAACAATCAGTCCACTTAAACTCCTTGAACAAATGTTTAATTGAAAAGTCTTACATAATGTTCAAATTCCATAAAATCCTATAGTCGAAGATTGAAAATGAATAAAAATATGGCGCGGGGAAAAAAATCTCACTTTTATAAATCTTTTATTGAATTATATTCAGATATAAATCTATATGTACGGAAAATGTGCAGTAGTAAAATATACAAATATTTACAAAATGCTTCTAGCATTAAATATTCTCTATTTTATAGTAAATTAGTTACATTTTATAAATTATATTCAATAATTACATTCAATCAATCGAACGCACGTATTGAATGTTGAATTTCAATCATAAGGAATAATTTGTTCAAATGGACTATACACAGTATACACCTTTTTGTGATCAGCTAACTTAAGTAAAATTTAACGTTAGACCAATCAGGCGGTTGTATCGATTGCACTAATAATTGATCGGACTATAATGCACATGCAGGGTTACCCATAAAGGATAAGCTCGATTCTAACCGGAAAACCTAAAATTACGTATGACGTTCGCATATATACGTTTTTTTAGGTTTGGAATACGTACAAATACGTATTTTCCATACTCTTACGTAATTTTTTTAAGGGAGGATATTTTTATTTTATTTAAATTTAAACAAAATTTCCTTTATTTAGTTTCATCCTTCTTGTTGTATTTTCAACTCTAAAAATAAACAAAGAAACTACTTGCAGTCTCTTGCAAGAAAAATTAGCATGATTTAGGAAGCATTATTTACTAAAAGATCAATAATAATAGCAGGAAATAGAAAATAATTCTCCCTTCATTGGAAGAATATGAAATGATATGTTTTAATATATAAGTTTCAATCCATAATATATTTTAAATATTGATTTTAGATAAATAATTGGATTAATTAATACATTTGCCTACCTTGTAATGAAACTGCAATTTTAGTAGGGTAAGGGGGGAAAAGAGGACTTTTTAGCAAGAGAGAGGGGGGTGTTAATTTTTTTAAAAAGATGGAGGGGGGGAAATTTTTAAAGGATTATTTTATATTTGTTTACCCGCCCCCATCTTAAATTCTGAAGCCACCCTTGACTGAAAAAATTCTCTACAGTCGTCTCCATGAAGTCTCATTCTTTGTGAGTAACCCTGTTATATATATGGTCTCGTCACTAATGGGTTTTAAACTATATTTTAAGTTCAGTTCAACTTTTTTTTCAATTTAAACTATTTTTATGTTCATTTGAACTATTTTTATGTTCATTCAAACTATTTTTATGTTCATTTGAACTATGTTCATTTGAACTATTTTGTTCGTTAATTTAAACTATTTTTATGTTTATTTGAAACATTTCTGTGTAATTGTTATCTAATTAATTGTTATGAACCAATATTTATGCTAATTATAAAAAAAAATTAAAAACTGAATTGCGGTAGAAAAATAGTTCAAATGAGCAAGAAATGTATTGATTTGAACTACAGGATATGACGTCATGTCAGTAGTTCAAATGAACAATAGTTCAAACGGGAGTAGTTCAAATGAGAATCCACCTTAAAATATTATTGGGCCTATAAAAAAATCGACACTTTTAAATGTCGTCTTTTAAACTACTTTCTCCAAATTACCCAAAATGTATTCTACCGCTAGATGCCTCTAGTAGACTCCTCTCCCTCCCCCAAACTATGGCAGGAATGAATCAGAACCTGTCCTGATGAAAACACACACCTGTCTATTTTCAGACAATTAGTCATTGTGAATTCCAACATTTATTTCAGGAGAATGTCTCTTTAGATTAGTTTTATTAAAAAACTATTTCCTGTGAGTTGAGAAAGGAAATAAGAAAGGTAAAACAAAACAAAACTCTATTTTTAAAATTTGAAAAATTCTTTGTTATCTTTGTTTCAATAATGCTTACTGTAAATAAATATGATATTCTAAATGATCAATGGCGAACTAAAATGAAAAATCTTTCGATAATTCTAGTTTGAATGCATCATTTTGTTGGCCGGTTGTTTAGTTCAACTAAGTCTTTTATCGAACAAGTGAAATTTTTTGTTCGAACGAGTTTACAGCTTTTCGATCGTTTAATTGTAGCAATGATCTTCCAATAATTTTCTTAATGATTGATGATTGATTAATTGTAGTTTTATTGATCAGTCTAAATCAAATATCTTCTTAGTTTAAACTGATCAATTGATCTTTTACATGTTATTTCGATTAGTATCCTTTTATTATTTTTCAGCATGGTTTGAAAAATTTTTAATTATTGTTATTCGCCTTATTGTAAAATCCATTTTTAGATCCACACGTATAATCTTTCTGATCAAATGAAAAATCTGATATTAGTAATTTGATCTTTATCATTTTATAATTTCCTAGTATCTACTTCTTTTGATGAAAACAAATTAAAATCGAGGGCAGTAGTGCAGCTGTCCTAGTCGCAGCGCTCGGCCCAGAAATAGTCCTATCTTAACCTAACCATACATTAATTCAAAAAAATATTTTGTTTTGTTCAAAGTTGTAGTTGAATTCTAGGTCATGTACACAATTGATATGAGGGGGGAGGGGGTCCATTAATCTTATACCAGGACGGCCCCTTGTTCTGGTATAGACATGTTAGTATCTGCGTTCGTGTTTAAAAAAAAAATCCCCATAAATTAAGTTAAAGTTTTTAAATATGTTCAAGGATGTTGTTTTTATTACTGGTTAGCGCGGTATCCGCTCAATTCTCTTATAGAGCTGATAGAGGCTCAGGACTTCTTATTCAGGTATTCATATTCATAAATATATGTATATATGTATATACTTTTTTTTTTCACGGGCAACGTCGGGCACTTCAGCTAGAAATATATATTAAGAAGTCATCTTTTTTTATGTCTGTCGGTTTGTAATTCCGATCATAACTCATGAACCCCAATGATCGATTTTCTTCGGGAATGAGTTTGGCTTTGTTTAAAAATTCTAAATTGAGTTGGTTGGCTTTAGCAGGGAAAGTTATGATTTTCAGGCAGAGCAGGGTTACCAAGTTAGTATATCTATATATAAATTCGGCTTGTCTGTCTGTTTGTTTGTATCCAATAAACGTCAAAACGGCTGAACCGATCGGGCCCAAATTTTTTGTGGGACATCACGTGACCACAGGGAAGGTTTATGAATGATCAAAATTTCAAATATTTGTCTCCATCAAAATTCGATCTCCATTAAATTTTTTAAAATTTTGAAAATCCGCGAAATTTTGTGAAAATCCGCGAATTATTTTTGTTTTGTTTTACGATGTACACAAAGAGAACATGTTCACAATTAATTTAGCAGATGGGCGCGAAGCGCCCTCTAAGGCTATTATGTATATAAAGTAGTAATCTCTGTGTCCAATTATAAATTTTATACCCCTAAAGTTTTTTTCCAACTATTCTTCTTTTCTGTCCACATGTTCACTTTTTTAACTGTGATGCATTATAAATAAATAAATAGATAAATAGAGTTTATTATGTAAAAAATCCTAGGTTTTCGTTTATAAAATAAGATACATTATAAATTTTTCTTATTGGTAAGAACACATTTATGTTATCGTTTAGAACCCGTGTGTGAGTAAAGAAACCTGTTCTAAATGTTTACAAACTCCAACGTGTGCCTGGTGTATGCAGCCTGTATACAACTCAACAGATGGATCTCCTCTTCCCAGGTATCATACCCCTCCCCCCCTTCTCCTACCGTCTGAAAATATTCCCTTTTGTATGATATCCCCCCCCCTTTCCTGCAGTTTCGAAGATCTTTCTAGGGTTTAAAATTAAATCTCCACCCACATCACGCTCATTGTCTGATTTAATTAAAGCTTACAACCGAATATCACCCATTTAAATGACCCCCCTCCCCCCCCATTTCTTACATTGATCACTCGGCTCCTTTTAAACCCTTCTCTAAGGTAAACTTTTTACAAAAACTGCCCTCATGATAAAATAAAAATTCAAATGTGAGCATTTTAATTTTCTAATCCTTAAATCTTTGTAACCTAATTTCGTAGAAGTTTGACAAATCAAACAGTGAATTTGTTATCATGTAGTCAAAAGGTTAAAACATTCAATGTTTTATGGTTGCTAAGACGCATTGAGTTTGAGGCGAGTAATCAGTTTTTTTTATTTTCAATGTTTATTCTAGATGTAACCAGGAGGAGTTTTTCATTGGTTCAAACACTCGTTGTGAGTCCAGGTAAAAAAAAATCTAAAAAACAACATTTTTTGTTAGTTTTGTAATAAAATATCGTATTTGTTAATTTTACATTTCATTTTAACAACAAATTTTTTATTGTCCTTTATTTTTTTGTTTTAATTTCCTTTTAAATGTTATGGTCTTCTTGGAAATTATAAACATATTATTTAGGTTCATTGTGAACCCCGAGAATGTGTACAGCATTCTTCAAAACGAAGAGTACAGGAAGTCCAGCTCAAGGCTAGAAGCTGTACAGGTACGGGTTTACTTCTATTAAATACCTGTAAGGTACGGGTTTTACTATGTTAATGAATAGAAAGGTACAGGTTTTGTTTTACTTTTATTAATTGCATGACTACAGTGCTGTAAGTAAATGTACAGATTTTGAATTTAATTAGGCTTCGCATAAATCTTAAAACACGCGCAACAACGTTCAGATTTATCATTTTGCAAAACGTAATAAAGCAAACCTTAATACCAGAAAAATGGTTTTAAATGTCAACTAATCGAAAAAATGAATTTTTACATTAAAAATTGTAAAAATACAAAACTAAATTAATATTTATTTATTTTTCAACAATAATAATAATCTAGGTCCGACCTCAGAACGTTCATCTTTCCCTTCGAGTGAATGAAGCATATGATTTAGATTTCTACTATAAACAGGTGAAGTTTATTCTCTAGTCCCATAATCCCCATTGCTTCATCTCTAATCATGATATCAGCTGTTGGCCGCTTTAAAAACTATACCTTTCCATATTTTCATTTTTTCCCCCTGCCCTGATCAAAGCTCCTTTCAAGATCTGACTGGGTACGATTACCATGTTTATTTACGTTACTTCAAGTAATCCCTTTATTTAGGGAAGAAACAATCTAGTTTTCCTTTTTTCAACGAGATAAATTCTGTCTTTCTTTCATGCCTCTGCAGCCTGGAAGCCACTTTAAAAGAGAAACCGCATGCCAGAACTATTTATTTTCAGATAGAAAAAAAGAATATCCATCAATTTTGCTTGATCATGTTTTAAGCGTTATCATTAAAAATCGGGCACCAAGCTTTTAAGATGAAGGTTCGCTTGAAATTGCGTTCAACAGCCCATGAACCTTGGAACACATAATGAAACTTTGAATATCTTGAAAAACGATTATCATTGACAGGAGGATAAATTATATTTCCTGACTTGATTTTTAGCTGAACATCAAAAAAAACTAACATTTTAATTACTGAAGTGAATGAATGATTGATTGATTGATTGATTGAAGTTCATTTCTATGAATGAATGATAGAATATTTTTTAGGCTGAGGACTACCCCGTGGACCTGTACTACCTGATGGACCTCTCCAAGTCTATGGAGGACGACAAGGAGAAGTTGTCTGCCCTGGGGGACCTCCTCGCAGAGACCATGCAGAACATCACATCAAACTTTAGGTTAGAGTTCACATCCAATTAGAGACTGTTGACGTTTTTATAGTCAACCTCCATTTTAAGAGTTTCACTTCTGATTTAAACCATTTTTTAAGCAAAAATTTTCGATAGAGCTTTTATTAAAATTCTGTAATTTATTATTTTCAATTGCTCCATATTTATTAACGTTGAGCCCCGTGATCTGCTTATGATTTAAAGATGTTAAGTCTGAATTACAAATAAAGAAAGTTCCATGAAAGGTCAGAAAATAAATCCGGAAAATGAATTTTTTCTTCTAGGCTTGGATTTGGAAGTTTCGTAGATAAAGTTGTTATGCCTTATGTGTCTACTGTGCCGAGAAAATTACAGGTTACATACGGTTTTTTTGTGATTGGTTGATTTATTGATCAAGTCTTTTGATCGTTAGGTTGGTTGACTTCAAAGTGTATGATGGGTGATACCTTGATAAGTTTTGAATATTGATTAATCAAATGTTAGAATGATTTGGACTTCTTTAATTATTTTGAGTAATTTTCTGATTTATTTGTCAAATTGGAATGTTGATGGATTAGTTATTGTTAAAATAATCCATCTAAACTGAAAAGATTGCTTGTTTGATTGTTTTATCGATTGGAATTGGATCGATTGGGTTGACTGTATGATTGATTGATTGATTGATGTCCAGGAGCCGTGTGATGGATGTGCTGCTCCATACGGATTTAAACATCATATGCGTCTATCCACCGATACTTCCTCATTTGCCATGGTACGTTTACTTAATAACTTGTGCTTAGGATCGATTTCATTTTTATTCAGATCCAGGATCCAGATCCAACTCATAAATATTTCTTAGTTTTATATATCACCCAGAAGCAAAATTTCCAAGATTTTCTTTCTTTTGGTGTAGGAACTTGAATTACCATGACCATGCAAAGATTAGGTCATTGGGATTTTTTACTAAATCTTGTAAAGTCTTGAAACATTAAATTTGTTTTCTTAATTGATATTTTGTCTCTTAGATCCTGATTTTATACTTAACTTTTTGCATTTTTTATTTAACAAGCAGTTTTATTTTTCAAAAATAAATAGTAAGAGTTTTCAAAATTTAAAACGACGATGTTTTCTTCTTTGTTGCTCATATTATGGTTCAAAGAGTGCCGTTGTGAATTGAATTGAATTTAAAGTTCCTTTTAAACAAACGTTTCTTGCTTAATCATCAATAAAAACGTGTTTTTAATTAATGAATTTTACATGTGTTAACATTTTTTTTGTTAATTTTATTATCTTGTTCTCAATTGTGTTGTATTTATGTAAAAGAAAAAAGGAAAGATTTTTCCAACCAAAAACTTTAAAGGGACTGTAATCGTAATTTCAAGTGACCCTCCTTTCCAAGAGGAGAAAGCCCGATTTGCAACGGTACCCTTAAAACCTTTGTGTATCGTCGCTTCCATAGATATGTGTGTTAAGTTACCTAAACGCTTGTAGTCAGCTGAAAATGCCGTTTGACGCTGCGCTGTATTGAGTTGAGACTCTACGTACGTCGAACACACAATAGTTTTAAGGACCTACCCTTGTTAAACGGACATTCCCCTCTTTGATTGGAGGCTCACTTGAAATTACGCTTACAGTCCCTACCCTTCTCTGATGATTTTTATTTGACCAAGATCGTCGAAATTTTTGTTACAGGAGGTGAAGTCCGCCCAGGTTTCTGGTAACCTTGACGCCCCTGAGGGAGGTTTTGACGCTATAATGCAGGCAATAGCTTGCAAGGACATTATTGGCTGGAGGGATAAAGCTAGAAGACTTCTTGTGTTCTCAACAGATGCTGGATTCCATTACGCAGGTTAGATGCACGTATGTTAACATCAGGGGTGTATATTTTATTAAAATTTCTTTTCCCCGAGCCCCCATACTAAGTACTAAACAGTAGCAAAAAGATGAGAACTTGTAGTTTGATGTCCATTTTTTCCAAAATCATTTTCCAAAAAATATACACCCCTGGTTATCATGTTGAAAATAACAAGTAATTTAAAAGACAATCCGCATCCAGGGGGAAGATTGAACTTTTTAAAATGTCTAAGATGTTCTATTTTATGTAGAATTCATACAAACACAAAATTCATAAATCGCCAGTCGCCAACCTGCATTGAATATAAGTTTTCCGACTTTTTAGTCTTTTTTGTTTTGTTTTTTTGGTTTATTTAATTGGTATTTTTTATAAAAGATGCAAAGTAATTGATTATTCACCTCAAACTCTTATTTTCTTGTCATTTTAGACTTCTGTAGAGTTTAGAATTTTGATATTTGAAACAAAAAAGAATGGTACAAGACCGATTACTCTTTGAAAAGATTAAGAGATTAGGAAATTGGAGTTCTCTTTAATTCTTAAGTCCATTTTTCTCGTTGATATATATTACAATTCATTTTTTTAATCCAATTTAGCTTTTTAACATATTTTTGTTCAAGTTTAATACAAATTTGTTTGTACAGGAGATGGTAAGCTTGGAGGTATAGTTACCCCTAATGATGGTGCCTGTCATATGGATTCTAAGGGATTGTACACTCATTCCGAGATCCAAGATTACCCCTCCGTTTCACAGATCAACCACAAGGAAAATTACATTCTTTAAACTCTCATGTTTCACGTCATTCATCATATCTTTGATTTTTCTCGAAGAACATATTTCTTACTCAAGTCAGAGGTTTTTTTTGTGAAGAACAATTTCCCCTCTTGTAAAATCACTATTTTCCACAGTGCTTAGGATCCAGATCTGTTGGATCCGCAACATTTCGGCTTCCGGGATCCGGGTCCAAGGTCGAAACATCAGCCAAAAATTGCAAAAAAAAATCTGAACTCAAAAAAGAAAGATAATCAAAAATGTCCTTCTATGTGATTAGTTCATCAAATTGTTGCAGAAAAATAAGTGAAAAAATAAGAATTTTAATTCGAAAATTCTTTTTTTGTTGAAAAAATCAGTAAATCTTGAGTAAATGTTCAATGTTCATGATGTGAATCTGGATCCGGACCCAATTTTTTCCAGTGCGGTGTAGGATCCGGATCTACAGCAAAATTAATTGGATCCTAAGCACTGGTTTCTCAGTATAAAAGGAATGTGTGCTCAGTGCGAGGAATTTTATTTTAGGCGTTTGTTTTGTTGCTAAATTGGGAAAATTTATTTAATACAATGAATTATCTGAACGAGGGAGAACAAACTTGCCGGTTGTTTAGTTTGATTTTTTTTCCCTTTGTAAATCATTTCTTCAGATTATTGTAATTTGACTGAAACATTATTATCTTTAACGAAATGTGAAAAATATTTCGTCTAAACTGGTAAATATCTGAAACTCCTAAAGGGATTTAATTTATGAAAGTTGTCTGAATTGTGATTTTTCCCGAAGGTTAAAGAGAATTCAGTTAATCTAATCTTTGCTGTAACTGAAGAGCAGCTTCATGTTTACAATGCACTCTCAGGTTGGGTACTTCACAATTCTTAAAAATTTATTTTTCAAATTTTTATTAATACCTTTGTTCTCTGGTTTAAAATAGACCTTATCAATGGTAAAAAGAAAGTTGAAGTTCCTGAAAAAAATATATTGCATGAGACCATGTAGAATTGTAGAATTGTAGAAACAACAATTACATTTTTAAAAGTTTTAAAGTCATGTAAGTGTACACTGTACCACTGTACAGTGTCAATTTGCAATACAATATAATTCATGGTATACTAGATGTGGTACAGGATAGCCTTTACAGAAAACTATATTAATGTACAGGGTTACCCAGAAAGGATGAGGCTTCAGAGACGACTGTACAGACTTGATAGCCTAACTTGTCGTGCACATATGCATCACTGCATTTAAAGCAAGTTTCTTTCTTAAGCAATCCATTAAGTAAACTATTAAGTGACTTTATTGACGGCAGAAACCAAAATCTAACATTCAAATATCATATTTCTTGAGTTTTCGTCTTCATAGTCACATCCTTTGTGGTTAACCCAGTAGTTCAACTTGTTAAATAATATCCTTGTATACTAGGTGTGATACAAGGTAGCAGGTATAGTTCAACTTGTTAAATAATATCTTTGTATACTAGGTGTGGTACAAGGTAGCAGCTATGGAAAGCTATCAGCTGACTCTTAGTAATATAGTTAAACTAGTTGAATAATATCCTTGTATACTAGATGTGGTACAAGGTGGCAGCTATGGAAAGCTATCAGCTTACTCTAGTAATATAGTGCAACTAGTTGAATAATATCCTTGTATACTAGATGTGGTACAAGGTAGCAGCTATGGAAAGCTATGAGCTTACTTTAGTAATATAGTGCAACTAGTTGAATAATATCCTTGTATACTAGGTGTTGGACAAGTTAGCAGCTATGGAAAGCTAATATAGTTAAAATGAGAAGATTGAAAATAAACATCTATAAAGAAAACTTGCTCATTATATTCACAAGTCTACCCATCGACAAAACTTGTTGTCTGGGTTTTATTGATAGGAAACCTGAAACTGATTCCTCTCAATACAGTTAGATTTTATTAAAATGTGTTTTATAACATTATTTTTCTGTATTTAGGACTGAAGGTCGGAACGCAAATCATGTTTACTGCTAAGATCGAAGTTGTCAAGTGCCCTAAGGTATCAAATTTAGAATTTTATTATTTTCATCATGATCAACATTTTTTCTCGTCTGTCCACACGACTTCTTCTTAATTTGTTGTTTCTGGTCAATTGACAGTTCTTCTTTTTCGTACATTTCATTTAAAGGGACAGTAAAGGAAAAATGAAAGGGGGTATAGACTGAAAGCTAATCACTTTAGCTCTTGATCGCGACCCATGAAAGTTTTATCTGATGTTACATCTCGAGAAATTGATATAAAACTGTGTTAAAATCATACGAAAGTTCATATATGTAAAATTTAGAAAATCTTAAACTTAAATCACGTGACTAGAACTATCACCAATGGCAGAGCAGTATACTGATCACGTGTCTCTGCCTGTATCACGTGACCACTTTACTGCACTGTCATTGGTGGATTTTCTGGTCAAGCAATTCGGACGTGTAAATAATATTATGAATTAAATCTATTAAAAATAGAAATAACAAATATAAAATTAGAATTGGAGTAAACCTAAGTAATAATTAGCTTTCTCGGGGATATTATCGTTTTCAGATTAGTTGCTTATTTGCTGAATTTGATCTATTTAAACCCACTACTTTTATACAAAATTGTATATATATTAATTTTCGTATAAATTTGACACAGTTGTAAATCAATTTCTCGAGATAGGAACATCAAATAAAACTTTCATGGGTCGCGATCGAGAGCTAAAGTGATTAGCTTTCAGTCTATACCCCCTTTCATTTTCCCTTCACTGTCCCTTTAAGTGACCCTTTATGCAAAGAGGTTCCATTTTTTTTTTTGGAAACTTGCATTACTGAAAGGGACCGTAAGCGTAATTTTAAAAGATCCTAAATGCAAAGATGACTATGTCCGATTCACAACGATACCCTTCAAACCTGTTGCAGACCATTAATGTAGAAGATATTGTCGTTTTTCTATGTTTAAAAGGGTTTAATTCTGATAATTTCTGGAGTAGAAATCACAACTCACTTTTGCAGAGAAATGAAAATTGAACATATCAGATTTTACAATTATAAACATTGATACCCAAGGTATACTCGATAAGACAATGCTTTAAGAGCACCGTTGTGAATCGTGCATTGCAATCCTTGCATAGAGGGTCACTTGAAATTACGCTTACTGTCCCTTTAAAATTAACAATGCAAAATAACTGTTTAAAATTAGCGGGTAAAGTATTTTGAGTTTTGGCGTTTATTGGATAACAACAAACCAAGAAATAAATAGACAAATCGAATATATATAAACTTAATTAGAACTAAAACAGTTGGGTTTCAATAGAATGGTTTCTTGTCTTAAGTGAAATTAACGAGTTTTATCATTCAAAAATGAAATTGCAGAATTGTAAGACTAATTCTGAAGTCATTGCAAATCGTAAAGCTTCTATTCATTAAGATTTAGTATATTCAATTCGAAATGGTTTTGTGGAAATAGGACGTCTTTAAAAGTCTGATTTGATTTGCAGATTTATGCTGCAGTAGCAATGGAGGAAATGTAATCAGTAGAAACTTCTAACCTTAAGAACGATAATATCTTCAATATTATTGATCAGATATTAGTTGAAAGGGGGAATCGGGCCCCTCTTTTTATACAGGGTTACTTAAACAATCAACAATAGTCCCTTACATCCCTTTTATTAATCTAGGATCCTCGTGAGTGGACCCAGACCTTCCAGATCTACCCGGTCGGTATCAACGAGTCCGTCGTCGTCAACCTTGAGATGATTTGCCAGGTAGGTTGATCGGCTTGGTTGGTCAGTTGGATGGTGGAGGTAGCAGGGTGTATGTTTTCTTGAAAAATCAATTCCCCCCCATCTCTTTTTTGAAAATAATCCCCCCACCTGATGTTAGGTTTTTTTCGGGTTTAATTGTTGAATTGAGAAAAAGAAAATTATTATTACGGGAAAATAAATAATTTTTTAGTAAAAAGTACGAAAAAGGATAAAAAGAAATTGTCTTTTATTTCAAATTTTTCATTTTTTCTCCCAAATCTTCAAAAATGCCATTTCCCATAATATAAGTAATTCTTAAAAATATATGCCCTTTGGAAGTGGGCCTGGTTTTTTTAAGGTAAAAAGGTAATTTTTAAGAGAGACCCGGAACTCGACCTAGATTTCCATGTAATGTTAGTTAACTGCTCATTAATATTTATTTTGTTTATTTGATAACTAGCAACCTTTAGAATAACAAAAGATAATAGCTTGAACGAAGCAAAACCATTCAGTACTTAACATTTGTTTGTTTGTTGAGTTCAAAGACATTTAAAGGCTCTAAAGCAAGAATCAAAATCAAATAGCATGCCTTTTGCCAAACACTAAACTTGTTTTTAAAAATAAAATAAATCCTACCCCTCGACCTGATAAACATAAAAATTAAGTTCTTTTGTACGTACCAATTGTTTTTGGGCTCCCAGTAAAATAGCCAAGTAATTTTTACAAGTGGGAATTGCTAAACAACGGGGATACAGTACTACAAATCAAATAATTCAAATATTGATATAAATTTTTTTCTAAGTGTGGTATCTGTGAATGTCCTGATGGTTATTATGGACAATCTTGTGAGTGCAGTGCTAAAGATCTACAATTTGCAGGTTAGAATCCGTTTTTACAGTTAACATTATTTCAAATTCTAATATATATTTTTTTAAGTGAAAAATAATATAAATTTTAAATAGTTTTTCAGTGAAAAATGTTGAAATTTCTTAAAGAATTAAGATGATTAATATAGAAAAATTTTAGGATTTAAGGTTTTAGAGTTTTTTTATTCAGTGAAAATCATGGCAATATTTTAGTATATTGTTTTACAGTGAATACTGAATAATATCGAAATTTCTATCAGTTTTTACAGTGATTAATATTGAAATTTCCGAAAAAGTTAACGGTGATTAATATTACTAAACTTCAAACATGAAATCTATAAAAAATTCTTAAATTAAGTTTTTGATATATAATTTTAGACTTGCCGGGTCCTTCAGATCCTCTTTCTAGTAATTAACTCAGCTTTTCATGCAAATTACGAAGAAAAATGTCGCGGATTTCCCTATTTTTATTGGTGAATTTTTTACAATTAAAAATAAACACTGACACATTCTAGGTGATCTTGAGGCTGGGTGTCGACCTGATAACACCACTTCAACAGTCTGCAATAACCGAGGGGATTGTATCTGTGGAAAATGTGAATGTAGGGAAAGGTAAAACCCAATTTTATAGTAATTAAATCTTGTTTCAAAAAATAGTTTTTCCTCCTATCGGTGTAGTTCTGGACAAGCGTTTGAGTGCGAAACTTTTGAAAGTTAACTTTTATTCTGTCCATTCAAAAGTTAAGCCTTTCGCTGTCAATTCAATAGTTTACAATATGTTCCGTCGAATCAAAAGTAGAGATATTTAACCATATTTGTCCAGGGAGAACCCAGAGGAGCGAGTAGATGGAAAGTTCTGTGAGTGTGATAACTTCTCTTGTGACAGATTTAACGGTGAACTCTGTTCAGGTCCCGATCATGGGGAATGCCAGTGTGGTAAGTCAGGATATATATTATCTTAGAGAAATCATTTTCCGCCTTATTTTGAAAATCATTTTACCCTAGTTCTATATTTTTCGGGTCTTTTCTCAAAATTGAGAAACGTAATTTTTCTTCAAAATTGGGACTAAAGCAGAATTTCTCCCTAAGTAAAAGTCCGAACTGACCCGCTTAGTGGCTTACCTTCCAATTTGCCTATTTATGTGGTGAAGTGATCAAATTTCACCAAAAATATGTCAATTTTTATAGACCGAAGCCAAAAACTGCCAATTTTCTATATAAAAAGCAGTTTCACTCAATCAGTACTGACCCCTGTTATTTAATCCCTTTCACTAATGATTTGATTTGATTTATATATTGAATTGACTAGATTCGTTGATTCTAAATAGTTGTCGATTTATTAAGCAGGGACATTGAAGAAAATCGTCAGAATTAATGTCTTCCTAAGATTGTCAAACGTCACATTATATTCCGCAAAGGTTTAAATTAAAGGGTTCCTTTGTGACTTGGTCATTTAAAGCATTGAATAGAAACTACGTAGATTGTCTCACCAACAATTGTTGAGTAATTTATTGTATTAAAAAACATCTGGCCAATGCTTTGTTCATAATGACTAACAATTGAGGAATGCTAACTACCGACTTCAGGGGCGCAATTAAATTTTAATTAAAGTTTTCAAGGTTTTTTGATATGGTTTTTTATATAGTTTTTTTTTTGAATGAATAAATTAGGAATGACTGACATTCTTTTGCTGAATAAGAGAAAATAGTTTGAAATTTTATAAAAAATGATGCGCGAAGCGCTAAATAAAAGTTTTGGTATTTTCTTTCTTAGTTATTAAGATTGGATAAAAGATGGTCCACAATCATGATCTTGATAGGGTTGAATGAGGTGGGGGGCAAGAGGGGTCAAATATTTACAAAATGACTAGATAATATATGATGAATGTTAAGGAAAATGCAAGTGTAACTCTGAATGGGATGTTCCCGGCTATACAGCATGTGAATGCAGAGCTAGCAATGAAACTTGCATCACCCCATATGGAGAGCATATTGGTAAGTAAAGAAATAGTAAAAATAAAACATGGATCATGATCAATATAATGGTATCATATGTACCTCCCAGTCAAGGATGATTTAATATGGATATAAAGCCTGATAGAAATATCCTGCCTAAATAGCTTCTAGCAGACAACTCTTATTTTAAAAAGAAAGACATCTACAGCATATTGTGTACTTTAAACTTCTCCTGTTTCTTTCTAAGTTTGTTCGAACAATATTATTTTATTTTTAGGAAGTAAAAAGGCATTTTTATGCCCGTAAAATTCATTGTTGTTTTTCTTGACAAACCCAAAAGATTCAATATTATTAACAACAAAGAGATTATTATTGGATAATAACATTGTAAAGTCACTTTTTAACCTTAACTTTGGGTTTCTTGCATTTATTAACTTGTTTCACTAAAATTTGCAGTATACCTTGTTGTTGCTACAATGCACGTGACAGCAACATTCCCAGGAGATAAAATGACATGCGTAAATCATAGATGGAGCTGTATACCTTCACGCTAGACCTCGTAATTTCTACATGCATCCATGTTATTTCATCCATACTCCCAGTGTAACATCATTTTATGTACAGGAAAACTTTGCTCCGGTCACGGTACATGTGAGTGCGGTCAGTGCAAATGTGACGAGGATGCAAACGGTCAATACTCTGGAAGGCACTGTGAAGACTGTCCGACATGTCCAGGAAAATGTCAGGAACTGAAAGGATGTGTTCAATGCAAACAGTTTCAATCTGGTGAACTTCATGATAAAAAGGTAAAAGAAGTTATTTTTATTGACAAGAGATTAAAACGACCAGATAGTAGTGCTTAGGATCCGGATCCTAAGCACTAGTAAAATATCAACCAATAACTGAAAAAAAAATCTTTTTTACTCCAAAAACCCAAATCTGAACCTTTAAAAAAAGAGAGATTATATAAGTTTCCTGATTTCTGAATGGTTCATCAAGTTTTAGGATAAAAATAAGCGAAAAAAACAAAATTTGAAAATTATTTTTTGTTAAAAAATTCAGTAAATCTTAAAGAATGACCTGGATCCGGATCTGCATCAATATTAAATGGATCCTGAGCACTGCCAGATAGGAATGTGATCTAGATTAAGACAAATTAAAAACCAAGGAAAGTTATTTTAAATAAAAAGAATAATTTAGTCCAGGGATTGAATTGAAATAACAAAAATAATCAAATAAAAAACATCTTTATACGTTTTAATGATTGATTATAAAAAAATGTCTTTAAAATAATTGAACTCAAAGACAAAATGATTGTTGAAAAATATTAAAAAAAGTTAAGATCAAAATAATATTTTGTTTCAGGATGAATTTGGAGTCCTGTTATGTGACAAGTGTCCCTTCACTCCTATTGTTGTTGAGAAAGCCGAGGACATGATTATAGATAAAGAGATTAGTTGTACACTTCTAGGTAACTTGGATTTGATTTGATCAGAGCTGGGAACTTTAGAATGGATAACCTTTAATCCCAACTACTTAATCCGAATATCCACTGTGGAAACTTTTAATTTTAGTCCTTAATCCCCTCTTTTTCTCGCTATTTGGATATCCTTACATTATTGAGAGTGCAGGATTATAGTTCGTAAGCTGTATTGACCAATGACAGCCTTGAAAATAAATTCTATTCCATGAGAGAAATCCGCAATTTCTAACAAATCAAGAATTTGTTGTTGGCCATTTTGTAAATTAATCGGTGAAGAAAAATATTTAATAATACGTTTGAGATTCTTTTGTAACCAATTTTAACTAATGTATTAATAAATAAATGGGTGAGAAATTAAGTGAAGGCCCTTCCAGTCAGGAAAACGAACCAATCTGGCATTCTTAGAATCCAATTTGTTGATCTAAATATTTATTCTCGTAACTTAACATAATCTCGAGATTATGTTAGTCTTGAGATTAGCGAAAACAGAGGATTATGCATTAATCCTGATATCCGCCATTCTAAAGTTCCCAGCTCTGGTTATTTTCAAAAAAAAGACTTCAGGATATTATTATTACAAATACTTTATTGGGAATTGAAGGGATTTTACTTTACCAAGGTGCCCGTGGTTATATAAATTTGTAATATCTCGAAAATTTAGTTTTATACAATTTCATCGTTTTTTTAAATGAAAATACCGGAATTTTTAAAGAACTTTTAATTCTACAATTTCGTTTAGATGACGATGACTGCCGATTCACATTTGTGTACGGGTACAGGAACGATACTGGAGAACTTCAAGTCTGGGTTCAGGTAAAGATAATAATTGAATAAAAAGGGGAGCTGAGGGTGGGTGGGTGAGCCGTTTGGCATAGAAGGGAGTTGCACTTGACTTGAAAACCATTCCTTCCACGTTCGTTTACCAGAGCCTGCACACACTAAACTAAGCTAGTGGTGTAGATCAAATAGGCCTATGATATGCTGGGTATTGTAAAAACTCTGGCCGCGCCATCAAAGTTGAAACTGGGCCGGCATGCGATAGGATCTGACCGGTATATGTGGGGTACAATGGGTCGGTCCGGCTTGAATTCAAATTGACCCTAGTCCATTGTGTATACAACAGGATCGTTCGTTTCTGATCGGTCTTTTCTAAATTGTTAAAAATCGTTCAGTTTTTCTTGGAAATAGCGATTGTCTTAAGATTTTTGCCATTTTTTCAACGAAAAGTCCGTTAAAAACCAGTTGTTTTAATCTTGTTAGCTTATGTCATTTGTCTCTCCAAGACAGTTCTGAACTCTGTTAGTCAGTATGCCCGAATAACTCGTAAAATCTTGTTCGTTAATGGAAAATAAGGTTGTTTCTCGTTAACGGTACTTAACCCTATCTATATAATATTGTTGTGAACTCAAAGCTTTCTTCAGATTTAAATTGTTATTTTTAGGAAACAAAAGAATGTCCTGTGGTTGTTGACATTATGGGAATTGTCCTAGGAGTCATTGGAGCAATCGTAGCTATTGGTATATTTTGTTATTACAATTTATTTATTATTGCTACGTGTATATAATTTTACAATAATTATCAACTTTTTCTGTTCTAATTACATTTTCTGTGTTAGTTTTTATATTGATCCACATTAGAGACTTCCTTCATAAATCAAAAATGTTGAGAAATAAAATGAAAAGTTACATATTTGCTTTGAAATGATTAAACTTGGTATATTAAGTATGTTTTTGGAAATTTTTAAAGGATTTTCAAACATCTGAGTAAATTAATTTTAGTTTTTCAATTTTTGGAATCGATATTAATCACGTAATCAAATCTATAAATCTGCTGATTTTTAAATGTTTGACGATTTTTTTTTAACAATTCTGTTGTCAGTGAGTTCTTTCCTGGTCGTAAGGGCTCACACCTTTCTTAATATAACAAGTCAATGTTTGAACTGATGGGATATATTTCTGTTTTTTTTTACGATTTACAAAAAGTGTCGATAGAAATTGCATTTTTTCGTGAAAAAAATGTGAAAATGTATCTTATAAAAAAGATCTTTTAATTGTTTAAATCCAGGTATGGCGTTAATACTGATGTGGAAGGTGTTTACAACTATACACGACCGAAGAGAATTTGCAAGGTAAACACCAAGGAGTATGAAATAGAAAACAGCTGACGCGGCCCGCCTTACCATATCATTATACATGCTTGTCAGACGGTACTCCATTTTTATAAGAAATATTCAGAATAGGTTATTGTATACGGGGTTATTGTACATTAGACAAATATTTCTTACAGAGCGTCCCATATCATATTAGATTATCTCCAATCTTTAACACCAAAATAAATTTAAGCAGGCGACAAGTACCTTCAAGAATCCAACATATGCTGGAAAATAATTCATTTTCAAACCTTAGTACATTATCTCATTCCAGTTTAGGGAACTCGAGATTCTTTTTCAAGTCAGTTTTCCAATTTTTCTTGAAAAGTTTTATGTCTTAAGATTTATAATTTTCTGTGTTATCCAAATTCAGCTGACCGGACGATTTCATGAGTTTTTTAATCTAGGTGATTAATTTTACTAAAATGTCCAGTCTCTTAGTATTTTAATGAAATGTCATCTCATTCTTAAATCGTTAACAGCGTTTTTTAAATGTTCAAAACATTTTTTAACGACCTTTTTAAAAGGCTTCAGAAGGTTCTGAATCTCAAGACATCAAAAATGTATTGAAATGTTGAGGAAAAACTAGACTTTAAATTTTTCCCTCTCTTTTATTTGACGAAAGGGAATGTCAAAGAAATTAAAGATTTCAGGAAACCTCTGTAAGTGTTCCTGGTTTCTTATTTCCTTGGTAAAGGCTTAATAAAGTTTTAATACCAATGTGCCAAGAAGTTAACCCTATACCTGCCGACTCGGCCAGTAATCTCTTTTGTAAATCTCAAATTATTTCAGTTTTCTAATCTCTATGTAATTAGTTTTATCTCAATGTGCCTTCTCTTTTTACTATTTGAACCTACAACTTTTAGAGGTTTTTATTTGGTGCTATATTTATTATCTCAAATTTACAAATTGTACACAATCCTTTTTTCATGAAAAGTACCTTTAGTTAATAATTAGAGGTTTTCTGACAATTACGAGAAATATTTCTCATCAAATTCAGTATAACTATTGCACGATAGCAGCTGTAAAGTATTAATGTGGACAAGTCCATTGTGAGTCCAAGAAGGGGAGGAAGGTTGGGATTCAAAATCCGCTTTCTAACAAGTTATTCAAGCCGCCTGACATTGTACAGATCTGCAATAGTTTAATACAAAGCAATATGTATTTTCTAAATTAACTTAGTTTAACTCATTACAATATATTGATACTCAGTTTAATAATGTTAATATTGTACGTGTGCATTGTATAAAGATTGTACTTAAATACTTAGTAATTTTGTTATTAACCTAACTTGGACTTGTTATAAGTCATAAGCCGACCAGTTAACATTAACTTTAATACAACAAACAAATGCTTTTTTTCTGAAAATTTTACCCCAATAAATCTCTAGTCTACAATGTCGCTGTTATTATGAATTATTAACCATCTATTAAAACTGTTTTTAACCGTTTTTAGAGAACAATGGCTCCCCTAAAGTGCCTGATGTTGGTAGTTTTGGGAGCTTGTGGAGCTGTGGGACTTGATGCTCCTGATAAAGGAAACTGGACTGTAGAGAACTGTATTGTACTCAAGATGGCAGCACAGGTGGGATTTCGTAATTTCAAGTTATTCTGGAATCCATTTTAAACGTGCATGTTAGTTTTACATGAATTACGTTTTCTGATCAAGAATTATTGAAATATTAATATTTTTCATCTTTGCACATTTTTTGTTTTCAACAAATGGAGAAAAGCTCAATCAAACATTGAATAACGACGACAGTTCATTATACATTTTCGAAAGAACTGATAAGGTTTTAATTAAATCATTTAACAATTTTTTTGTTCGTTAAAACATCATCTTGGACTAATTAATTCTTATTTAGTTAACCATCCTTCCCGTTGAGAAGAATGAAAACATATCTGTAACTGTTGATATTCCAGTCAGTGCTCTTGCTGCAGGATCTTGCAAGGATAATCAGGTGGGTTATCTTATAGGAGATATTGAACTCAGAGGTTATCTAGGAGATATAGAACTAAGGATAGGTTATCCAGGAGATATAGAACTAAGGAGAGGTTATCAAGGAGATGTAGAACTAAGGAGAGATTATCGAGGAGATATAGAACTAGGGATAGGTTATCAAGGAGACCTAGAACTAGGGAATGGTTATCAAGGAGATCTAGAACTAGGGATAGGTTATCAAGGAGATCTAGAACTAGGGATAGGTTATCAAGGAGATCTAGAACTAGGGAGAGCTTATCAAGGAGATGTAGAACTAAGGAGAGGTTATCCAGGAGATGTAGAACTTAGGAGAGGTCATCCAGGAGATATAGAACCAAGAAGGAGATAAAGAACTAAGGAGAGGTTATCAAGGAGATGTAGAACTTAGGAGAGGTTATCAAGAAGATATCGAATAAAGGATAGGTTATCAAAGAGAGTCAGAACTAAGGAGAGGTTATCAAGGAGATATAGAACTAAGAATAGGTTATCTAGGATATATAGAACTAAGGAGAGGTTATCAAGGAGAGTTAGAACTAAGGAGAGGTTTTCAAGGAGATGTAGAACAAAGGATTGGTTATCAAGGAGAGTTAGAACAAAGCAGAGATTATCTAGGATATATAGAACTAAGGAGAGGTTATCTAAGATATATAGAATTTAGGAGAGGTTATCAAGGAGACGTAGAACTAAGGATAGGTTATCAAGGATATTTAGCACTAAGGAGAGGTTATGAAGAACTAAGGAGAGGTTATCAAGGAGATGTAGCACTAAGGAGAGGTTATGAAAAACTAAGGAGAGGTTATGAAGAACTAAGGAGAGGTTATGAAGAACTAAGGAGAGGTTATGAAGAACTAAGGAGAGGTTATGAAGAACTAAGGAGAGGTGGAGGTAACTTAAAATATGATTGATTGTTATTTTAGACTATTGAGCTGAGTTGGGAGGAAGAGGATAAGAAAAAGCGAGTATTGAAGAGATCTTTTAAAATCAGTTTCGCCAGGTTTGTCAATTTGCCCCGTCAATGTTTTAGAGACCAAAATTAATAAATCAGAGACATGGTTCAATCGCTTCACAAGCAAGAAGAGTGGTTAAACTACGTCTGAACGGTTAAGCTACTTCTATATCATTTAGTTTGGTCCCATCGACCATTATTTAATCTACATTCATTTTTGAGGTTAAAAATATATCTTTGTTTACTTATAATAAAAGCGTAGACATTCCTTTTTTTAATAATTTCTTATATTTCTCAATAATTCTGAACTTAAGAAAAGAACAAGCATGTTGTGGTGTTTTCTGATCTAATATATCCCTCCCATTGAAAGTTTTAGATTAGAATACAAAATTCGTTCGCATTTTCCAAATTTATGAATTCAACAGATTTTAAAACCTAGTCATGTTTATCCTTTACATTTCAAACTTTGACCATTTGATTAGTAGAATCAAGAGCGATTAACGAAATCGGGTTATGTAGAGACAAACATCTAAAAATTACAATTTAGGGGGAGTTATCCGTACATCCAAAAACCTGGACTTTTAAAAGAAGTCCCATTTTTGTACTTTTATAATTTATAATTTCTATGATTCAGGAATGATACTGCTAACCCTCCTGTGTATGGTGTACGAAGATTGGACGGAGTTTATGATTACAAATACTTTACAAAGGTAAGTCATAGTTATGTATTTTCTAGGAGAAAATTTTCCTCGCCGTCTTCAAATATCGTTTTCCGCAACCGTAAACCTTTCAGAAATCATATCCTCCCCTCCCCCTCTCCTTTTCGAAACTCATTTTTCTCCACCACTGACATCTTCAATCTTCATTCATTTTCCTCTGAAATCCCTCTAATTCGGGAGTTCATATCCCCTCTTTAATTCAAGTACTTTCCCTAAACAGACATTTTCATCATTGTTAACATGTTAACATGTTGACATGAAGAAAAGGATTTATTGTATTAATGAGAATATATGAATTATCATGATAAAATAGCAGAAATTATTGACGATTATTGTAAAACTAAAAAAAAACTGTTTTTATTGTTTTCAACTGCCGCCAGGACCTGATTGTATGACTGTAGGTTGATTGATAATAATAATAATAATATTAGTTCCATATTTGTACATTACTAGCTGAAGGGCCCGGCTTTGCCTGTGGAAAAAAAAAATTTTGATAAGAAAAAATGTTGAAAAAAAAGTACTACTTTTTTAGCCTATAACACCCTCGGCCACCCATAAGTGTCCACAAAAACATTCAGTCCAATTGGTCCAGCCGTTTGGCCGGCTATACGCAACATATATATATGCGAATTTCTTGTTTTATTTTATAGATTGATATATTTTATTCCTCGTTTCTTTTTAACTGCACCATCATAATTGTGTACGAATAAATAGATTAAATTAAACTAAATCAGTTAATACAAAATTCTATAAAAAAAAACTTTTGATAAGAACACGTTTTAAATTGGATGTTTTTTATTTAACATGCTTTTAAACCCGTCATGAACATTGAACAGAGTCAAATACGATTCACATCAATAGCGCACGAAACATTACCAAGCCGTTGTTGATGTTCAAAGTAGAAGAATACTTCTAAGGTCGATCTACCTAATATAATAGTGTACAGTACTTTTCAAAAATTTACGTACTAGTTATTAAAGTAATCGAAAATGCTACTTATGTTACCTGACTCATATTACGAATTTGGTTTTTAGAACGTATCTGAGAATTCCAGCGTGGAAGCAAAACATGTAGTTGTATTCAGCACTTACAATCTGGACAGATTAGAGTTCAATACACCAATTAACAGGTAGATTTGATTTGCAGTACCTTATACTGCAGAGCTTAACCTTTTTTCATTGTATTAGAACATAAAGCTCATGGTACCTTGTCTGTATGTTGATTAATAAATAGTAATATTTGTATACATTGTAGAAGTTATTCTTTTTATTACAAGCAATTAAAAAAAATCAAATGGGACTCTTTTGTTCAACTAACTTAAACTAAAGCCACTAAAAGCAAACAGTTTTTTTTACAGTTTTTGGTAGATATTTTTCCCCTTTGAACCGGATCCGTAGATTCGCATATTTTTGCGGATTTAGATCCTAAGCATTTTCAATGCCAAGAAACATCAAGTTTTTTGCTAGGAAGTTTTACACCCAGTTCACTACCAGAAAGGAGATAGTTAGAAATAATATATTTTTTTCTATAGATCCTATCTCTGCCTTGATGTCGGAAATGTGGAGATGAAATCTGCAATGAAGGACAGTACTGAACCAAGTAAAATTTTACATTTAATTAAATAAGTACTTTTTGCAGTTAAACTAAAATAAAAATAAAAAATTACAAATGTTATTTGGGAGCGAGAGGTAAATTATAGCACCCCTCCATTTATTAAGTAGCATGTTTGATTCACAACGGTACCTTCAAACCTTGATTTTAGCAACAATGATTAAGATAATGACTTGAAGTTTCTTTCATTGTCGCCGCTGCATAAAACACATATCTTATTCAGACAAATTTTGTTATAATATCATAAGTGAACACTTGGAAAACAATTTTTTTAGCCTATATTACCCCCCAGGGGGGTACCCATATGGTTTTCTCAAAAAATGGTGGCCAATTTGGTCCAGCCGTTTGGCCAACTATATCTGACATATATATTTAAATATGAGCAAAGAGCTTTTTTTTATAGATAACATTTTTTTTCCTCTCATTCTAAACGTCATATTTAAATGTGAACACAAACCTTAGTTATCAACACATTGGAATACCAGATGCTTTTATCAAACTAAAATATGTTCAAGTTCACACATCCGGCGACGAACTCCTTCCTGTGACCTTCACGGCCAAGAATGTCCAGCTTGACGCTTTCCGGTCAACTGATGTAGAACCTGATCAACTACAGACTCCGCTAGACTGCTCATTCAGACCTAGGTAATTGGAGACTTTTTCTTTTTAACCAATCAGAGCCCGCAAAGAATAAAATTCAGGAAAATACGGCTCGGACCTAAGCTGTCCTTGGGCCTTATTTACGACTTTAACCTTCGGAAACAAACAAAAAACAGTTAAATTTTCTATTTGGCGGATTTTCATGGTAGGAATTGGCGCATTTTATGAAAATAGGGCCTAATTCCTTAAGTCGAGCCGAAGATCTTGCAGCTGTCAATCGCGTGAAACATGCATTTCCATTTAGTTTCCACTTTAAATTATAAACAAAAAATACTAGGTTTTCAGGTCGCTGCACCTCTTTTTCTAGTAACGGTAAATCAGACATTTTGATATCGGACATCTTGAAACAAAATTTTTTCGCTGATATAACTTTTTATCCAGGAAAAATCTTTCTATATCAATCAGCCATAACATTAATAGGGGTTATGTCAGTTGCTACATTCAAAAAGAAGAAAAAATTACCCACTCGTAGGTCAGAATTGATGACCAGCATTATTTTCCACCCTCTTTCGTAGTTCAACTCTGCAAACCTTGTTGAACCGCTTTCTTTATTAGTTCCGACATAAAATAATAGGATCTTTTTTGTTTTAGTGACGTAGTTCCTATTGTTGTTGGGTGTGCCCTGGCTGGAACTGTTCTTCTTGTTCTCATCGCATATCTGGTCGGTAGAAGGAGGAATAGGGCTAGAGGATACCAGAGCGTTTAGAGACCATACCAGATCCTCAGGGGATACCAGATCCATTAGAAGGATATCAGATCAAGGGAATATTTTTTTTCTTAAAATGATTTTTTCCCATAAAAAGTGTTGTAAACCCATTTTGACATTAGGAAAAAGAAAAAGATTTTATTGGCAAAAAGCAAGTTTATTTTCACCCCCCTCCCTCTTGAAAATATTTACCCCTGTACCAGATCCCCTAGATCGGATACCAGATTCCCTAAGGGGAACGTAAAGTGTCCAAAAAGGATAAAATGGCTTCTTTCAAGATTTGTCAGCAATAGCTTCAAAGGATATTATTTATTAAACAGTGTAAATATTTCATGTTGAAACTCAAAATTCAAATGTTTGCCTCTAAAATTGATTGTACAAATGTGTTATATATATATACTATATATATCAGATCTGAACTCCTAGAATAAGATATATATTAACTAAAATATAGGCAGTTTTTGTAAATAAAACATTTTTACCAATTGGCATTAATTGACAAAAAAAGTAATTCGATATTTATGTGAATTTTGATTGATTCTAGTAGTTTAAATGTTTTATGTTTTGATTTAAAACCAAATATTAACGCTTGCCGTCTCAAGTGATTTGTAAAATTAAGCATTTTTATATTCATGCAGTACTCTCTTTAGTAGCTTGATGGGTGACTTAAACTACTTCTCTTCTCCAAATTGTAAATTCAAATTTTTTCTGACCCCATCATACTGCTAGTTTTATTTCTTCATATTCCGTTTATATTTATCTATATTTAGCAAACTTTGTAAGAATAGGATTATTTTTAAATAAACAACTTTTTAATAAACATAAAAATTCCTATTTTCAGATTAAAATGAAGATTGTGAGATTTAGGCAGATCTTAGATGTATTTTTAGTTAGATTACATTTTGTCAATTGTCATGGCATTTTTGCTAAGTGTCTGTATATAGTGAGATAGGAAGGTTATGTTACTGTAGGAAGGACCTATATTGATCATGCTAAGTGTCTGTATATAGTGAGCTAGGAAGGTTATGTTACTGTGGGAAGGACCTATATTGACCATGCTAAGTTTCTTGTATGTATATACTGAGCTAGGAAGGAAAGTTGTCGCTGTTGGAAGGAACTATATTGATCATGCTAAGTGTCTGTATATAGTGAGCTAGGAAAGTTATGTAACTGTTGTCGCTGTAGAAAGGAACTTCGCCGACCATGCTAAGTGTCTGTATATAGTGAGCTAGGAAGGAAAGTTGTCGCTGTAGGAAGGAACTACGCCGACCATGCAAAGGAATTGGGGAACGCTGTTTCTACCACCAAACCTCTTCTTTTTATGAAGGTTCGGATTGAGCATGTTTATGCAACGCGACAGGGGTTTCCTGAAAATAACATATTCCCAAATCAACGATCTACTTGGCGGTTTATTTTGTAAGAAACGTAGTTATTTTCTAATGCTACCTTCCTTAGTGACGTTTTCCACAAAGATAGCAATTGCTCTGCGATTGGAGATTTGCCAATTTTCGCATAAGTTAATGTACATTTGGTTTGTTTGGAAGTTGTCACTTCGAAAGATACCCTTGGCAAAATTTTACTTCCGATTGCCGTTTTGTAAGTGCACAATATTTTTGTCATTGTTGCAAAAAAATCCTCAAGGTTGACTTAAAAACATTTTTCTCTAATCAATTAATTGATTTGTTATCAAGCCGTCTAGTAGCTATATAACTGCCGGGCAATCTATCGAAATACCACTGGGATGCTCTGAACTACATCATGAAATTGAACTAGGGAGGACACCATCTTAATTTTATAAAATTGAATTTTAGAGAACTTTTTTAACAAAAAAAGTTGGACAATTTACAAGTGTTAACTTTCTTTTTTTCATAAAAATTGAAAAAGTACTTAATTTTTAAACCAGGAAATTTTTAACACGCTAATAATTCAGGCCACGTTTTGAAAGTGTTCAATAATTTCAAGAACTAAACTACACATTTAGAATGACACCCTTTTTTAGGGGTGTATATTTTTAAGAATTACCCTTGCCCTCTGGGGGAAAATGAAATTTGGACTTGAAAAGATAAGTTTTTTCATCCTTTGCCATTACTTCTTACCCACAAATTTATTTATTTCTACCTCTTATTTTTTTAGGAAATCAAACAGCCCTGCTTTTTAAGCTATATTTCAATACAATCTTATAATTGTGTTTTCTGCGTCCAGGTGCTGTAATTAGTAAGCAAAGCAAGAGAATACAAGAGTCTGAAGCTATGAACTTTATTGGTAAATTTAGGAAACCGGAGACTTTGAAGACATAAGTTGAGTACGCACAATGATGACGAACATTGAGGACACATATTTTGGACACACATTGAAGACGCACATTGGATTCGCATACTGAGGACGCACATTGAAGACGCACACATTTAAGACACACATTGAGGAAACACATTTAGGACAAACATTTAGGACAAAGATTGAGGACGCGCAGTGATGACGAACATTGAGGACACATTGTGGACATATTGTGGACACACATTGAAGACGCACATTGGATACACAAATTGAGGACGCACATATAGGACGCACATTGAGGACATACATTGAGGACACACATTTAGGACACACATTCAGAGGGGGGGGGGGGTTCCTTCCCATTTTAAAATATATATTTGACTCGTCTTTTTGTCTATTTGTCTACTTGTATCACATGAACCCATGAAAGGTTGATGACTGGTCAAAATTGATAACTTTTGCCTGGGAAAAATGTCGACATTTACAATTTAAAAAATCCACCAATTTGAATAGAAAAATCCGTGAAAATCTTTGTTTTTGGAGGAATTGGAGTACTAGAAAAAGATGGCTGAATGAAAATCAGAGGAGTGAAGCGCCCTAAAAGCTCAGTTTTAAAATATTAATTTCTAAATTCTAAAATGTATTTAATGTTTAGATGTTTGATACAAGTCTACCTGTGAGTGAATTGATACCATTAAACAGAATATCAGATCCGGGAAATATTAATTTGTGGTGTAAGGTAACTAATCTAAAAACTGTATGTACTGTATGTACTGTATGTACTGTATGCACTGTATGTACTGTATGTACTGTATGTTCTGTATGTACTGTATGTACTGTATGCACTGTTTGCACTGTATGTACTGTATGCACTGTATGCACCGTATGCACTGTATGCACTGTTTGCACTGTATGCACTGTTTGCACTGTATGCACTGTTTGCACTGTATGCACTGTATGTACTGTATGTACTGTATGTACTGTATTTACTGTATGTACTGTTATTTCTGTATTTTCTGTATGTTCTGTTTGTACCGTATGTCCTGTATGCACTGTTTGTATAGTATGTGCGGGATGTACGGCAAGTACGGTATGAACGGTATGTACGATATGTACCTTATTTACTGTATATTCTGTATGTACTATATGCACTGGATGTATTGTATGTACTGTATGAATGGTATTTACTGTACATGTTCTGCACTGTATTGTACTTTATGTACTGATGTACTAGGTGAATGGTGAACTACGTCAGAATGGATGTACTAAGGATATGATATTCTCTCTTCCTTTCCTAGTTAGCTATATATCTCAATACTTCACTCTTGAGGTAATTATATTTTTACATATATGATTAAAAGACATTGCAGTTATATTTAGAGTATTTTTCCCTTGGCAAATTTACAAATTTAGCGTTAAAAGCTTTGTTTTATCAGGAATGAATCAGATGTAATTAATTGAAATTTTAGAAAAAGTTAAAGAATTTAAATTAATTGTTTTCAAATGTTGCTTCGTTGCCAAAGTTGCGCATTCCTCCCATAAATGTCCTGCAGGGTACAATTTTTAATCGTACAGGCCACTCTTTTATAACGGGAGGGTCACTTACACAGGTCGTTTGACTAATGACAAATTTTGTTTTATTTCGAGAAAATATGTATTGAAATTTTCCAACTAAATATTTTTTTATTAATGGTTTTTTTATAGCCATAAAATTCAATTTTTTAAAAACCGAAATCATAAATGAAATGTTTCTGATGTATATTCAAAAATTTTCTATTTGGGGATATGATTGAATGCCCTTCAAATAGGTACACGGAAAAGTAAATTTATAAGATATAATTTATCATGTTTTTTTTCGTTTTTTATTATCAATGTCTCTTTTGAGATATTTCAATATTTTTTCTAATGGATTTGTCTGTGAAGGAGGGTGACCTGATATTAACTGGAACCCCAGCAGGTGTAGGGCCGGTCAAATCTGGAGATGTCATCACAGGTAATCCTCACCTGGGAACTTAATCCCGATATCCTGTATGGACACTTGATTTCCTGCTTAATCCTTTTGTTTGGGATATCCCTACTGACAAGTATTGGATTCTGACCATTGCTTAGGATCCGGATCCGTTGGATCCGCACTATAAATTTTAAAAAAGAAACTTTTCTCTCAAAACCTATTCCTTTCTTTTTGTTAATCCGCAGATAAATTAAATCTTTATTTGATATCCAGGAAAATGTCTAAAATTCAACCAATCAGAGCTTCTTTTGCAGAAACCGATCAGAAGCTTTATAATTTTTCTCGCCACCAATAAAAGAGCAATTATCTTACTTTCCCGCACTCTCATTGGTCGGAACACAGTAGGGGTATCTAAAAAGACCGAATTTAGGATAAAATCATAAGTGTCCTCAGTTGATATCGAGATCAAGCGATCTGGATTAAGCTGGTATCCAAAACAAAAGTTCTGTGCTCTGGGATCTCGCAATGTTGTTAAATTCAAAATGCATTTCTTAAAGTAAAACTCTGGGGTGTATATTTCCTTTAAATTTCGAAAATTTGTTCCCCGGAAGTTAGGTATGTTAAAAAAACTTGTCTTTTGAAATCCAATTTTTTATTTTTTCCAATTTCCGAAAAATCTTACCTTTTTACTTATAAATAAAACTCAACAATGTTGAATATAATAAATGTCAATTTTAGGTGGTATCCCAGATGTGATCGAAATATCATTCCCAGTCATCCAACGAACCTGAAACTAGTTTGCGCACTTTTTGCTAAAATAAATTTTAATAAAACAATTTGTATGTGAACAAATAAATAAATAGTTAATTAATTATATATTTCAGATTAAAACAAACAATGCTTGGAAAACTAAAGTTAATTGTGGAACCCACTTTTTGTAGGAATTGTCAGATATCGCTGTTAAATCTGACCTTTAGACGTCCTCAGATCTTGGAACAAAATTCCAATTTTAATTCCGGATCACAGAGGCAATACACAGCTATACCTTTAAATCATAAGGAAGAAAACCTGTCATAGTTTTCATTTAAGTAAAAAAAATACTTGTTTCTTCTTTTATCGTCAAACTTTTGGTTTTAAGGAAAGAAATGATTTTTTGAGGTAAAGTAGCAAAAAAGGTCTTAATTCTTAATTTATTCCTTAAATTCTTCGAAATATCCCCCCTCTCCCCCTTCCTGAAGATTTGGTGTATTTTGATAAAAATGTACCCCTGGTATTACAGGACAATTACATTATTATTTTTTTTGTGACAATGTTTGTCAATGCTAGTATGCAGTAAGCTCGTTTCGTCTTTGCCCTCCTAACTTCAAGTATTCCAACATTTGTCAACCAACTTCAGCTCTATTTTCTTCTCTAACTTCCTCATCACCATTTTCAGCTTCGTTTTCTTCTCCAACTGCTTACTCTCCATCTTCAGCTTCGTTTTCTTCTACAACTGCTTCCTCCCCATCTTCAGCTTCGTTTTCTTCTTCAACTGCTTCCTCTCCATCACCAGCTTCGTTTTCTTCTTCAACTGCTTCCTCTCCATCTTTAATTTCGTTTTCTTCTCAAACTACTTCATCACACCCTTCTGAAGATCCAGTTAATCAACGAGATTATGAATATTTTCACAGGAACAGGAATACAATATTTACTATTTAGTATTTATTTTTCCTTATACTTTTTATAATTTATCATTTAAACAGGAGCATGTTCGATTGATAATGGTTCTCTTAAAACCAAAATCGGATTAACATTTATAGAAAGAAACATTTTTATTAATGTATTCACTGTTCAGAGTTCTCAGTTCACTTCCTTCAGATAGATCTATAGGTACCATTTTTCTAAGTTGTATCATACTTTTTGTGACGAAAAGTATTAAAAGTATTTGCTTAATAAAGTTGTTGAAATCCTTTTTATTGTAAATCTTAACTAATAAATGCTGTTAGTTGACTTAGATTTTATTTGAATACCCAATATGAATTTAAATTTTCTATTTGTTTTATTTAAAATTTTTGTTGTTTAGCTTTTGCATATGGATCTGGAGTTTTTAAGCAGGCTGGGAAAGCTTGGACCAGGAAACTTGTTTAAAAATTTATCACCTTTTAAAAAAATTATAGTTTATTTTCAATCCCTTCTAGTTGCCCAAGCATTTATTTTTTCCAAAATATTAAAACTTTGAGATAAGTCAGTTCTAAAATTCAATTATTATTTTATTTTTTATTTTTTTTTTAAATCCCTGAATTTATTATTTAAACAATTGTATTTGCCAGGAATTCCATGTCAGATTTTATTATTGCAACAGACAATCCCGAAGCATGGCATAAGGCAGGACATGAAATTTTTGTTATTTTAAGTTTTCAACGTTTTGTGCTTGAGTTATATGCACTATGCAGTGAAATTATATTTTATTCTCTAGGAAATAAACTAAGATATTTTACTTAAAAATTCACTTTTTTCCCCCAATTGAGAGTTAAAAATCGTGCGCACATCCCTAACTTCTGGGGGAAAAATGATTTTAATATGGGTGGGGGAAATGTACATCGTATACTCTCGACCCCGGCTTGAGCCCGTTACCGTACTACCATGCCGGAGGGGGGCGAGAACCTTTTCTTGTCCTTTTTTTTCTTTGCACCTGGAATTTCTTTGAGAAGAGAATTGAGCGGGTGTTTCGTCGAAACACCCGCGAAGCAAAGTCGTACATACCCCTGTTAATATGCGATATTATAAAACTTTAGGCGGACGTAGTTGATTAATTGACTGATTGATTGGTAGACTTGTTGATTAGTTGATTAGGCTCCTTAACTCGGACACAGTAGTCGCAAATTATCACGTAAATGGATATATTTCAAACCTGCAATAAAATGCAGTTACAGTTAAAATAAATGTCAATGTATAAATGTTATTGAATGTTTCATAAGATATTACTACTTGTTGTGTCAGGGTGATAAGAAGTTATTAAGGATCGGAGGGTTTGATGGAAAAGTTGAAAACCTTTGTAAATACTTCTAAAAATATAAACCAGGTTGTTCAAGATGAATTTACTATGGATTGCAAAGTTATTTGTGGATTTGATTTTTCACTAGTAAACGTTTCACTGTTTTTTGTTTTCCTTCTGTCTGAGTCAAGAATACAGAGAAATTGTGGGAGAATTGCTTTGGTTTAGAACTTCTCTGAGCGGGGTTTTGGTAAAGACGACTTATGGGGGGGGGTTATAAGTTAGATTTATGTTCAACAAATATGCATATAATTAATACAAATTGTGTATTGATAACATCAAAAATTCACAGCAAATGCTCAAAATTTTTATGATCCTAGAAAAACCTTCAATTGAATCCAGATCACTATCCTTTTCTCATTCGACTGATCGGTTCAGAGAAAATTGCCCAGATACAGACAGATTTTGGCGCCAAAATTTATTTCAACACACTGATTCCGTTTGAAGACAGTTTAATCAAATATGGCGTCATTTTCACGGAAGACCTTGTACAAGACTTAACAGGTAAATGATTAATAGGAAATTTATTTAATAATCTAACTTAATTAAAATTCATGTTTTTATAGATTGGACGACATTATATGTCTCTGGTCGATTACACAAACCTGTCAACATTCTTGAAGCTGACCTTTCTAATGAGAAGCTTAAAAGCGCGTTAAGGGTCAACCTAGACTTTGCTCTTCACGCTGCACTTCTTCAGCTACCAGCACGGTATTATTATATTACCTGAGCTAAAACTTTAGAATTGGATACCTTAAATCCAGATTGCTTAATCTGAATATCCACTGTGGACACTTTTGATTTCTGCTTAATCCTCACTTATTCTCTTTTTTTGGATTTCCCTACTTTAAGCATTACTCAGGGGAATACGGGAAATCCACTAAAATGTGATTCAGAAGCGATATTTATAGAAAAATTTCTTACTAGTGGAAGACGACTTTTCAGGGTTTTTTTTAAGTCAAGTGTATTGAATACATAAAAAATAAAAAGTTGTTGAACTCTAGTCAATAACAATGTAAATGACGTTTAAATACGGTCTACAAATCAATTTAAAAGAAAAACGACATTTCATTGCTGTTTAAAACTGAAATCATAGAAAAAATTTGACTTGTCATGCAATGGAAAAATACTGCTCAAATTACAATATCTCTTGGTCGTTGAACATCATAATGTACTATGTTTTCATAAATTATAGTGTTCTTATTAAACTTTATTAATACACTATATTATTCTAGTTGTACCGAGATTGAACTTTATTTACAGTTGGCTGCAATAAGCTACACCGGAGATTTACGGTAAACTTTAAATGTTTTATAATAATTGTAAATAGTTGATTAATTGATTAATTTGATTATAGTTTGATTGATTTATTAATTATTTTGTTGATTTATTGATTGTTTGGTTGATTGATTAATTTAATGATAGTTGATGATTTTTTGATAATTAAATTGTATTTGGATTGTTGGATCAAATTATTTATTTTTGGGTTAATTTATTGATTTTTCGGTTAATTTATTGGTTGTAATAGTTGGGTTATTTTTTGTACATTAGGTTTGATTTATTGATAGTAATTTAATTTTTTGATAATTAGGTTTGCATCCAAACTTCTCTTAATATTTTCCCCTGGTTTAATTAATAAATATTTCCAGATTAATAAAAAACTTAAGCAGACAATGTAAGTCAAGGGTGTTTGAAAAATACCCCCCCCCATGAGTTCTTTTTAAGGATGTTGGTTGGAGAGGATAAAAATAAGGTTTTCAATATTGTGGATGCACAGACAGATCTTTTCAGAGACCTTTATGCGGCAAGGTACAGTTACTAGAGCTGCATTTTATGGTATTTAAATTTGTCTATTGTACGGGGATTTAATTAACGTTCAATTGCACTAAAGTCAGTTTTCAAAGTAAAGACTGCTTGTTGTTGATTTTTCGTCCCCACTGCGAGGGAGGGAGTGCAGAAAAAAAGAAACACAACCCAATCCCGTTTTGCGGCATGCGCGCTCTTCAACTGGTAATCAGAATTAAAAAACTTAACATTAAACCGTTTACTTCTTAGAAATAAGACCATATTGACCTCTGTTAATGACCCTATGGTGTTCAATATTGTTAAAGCTTTCTTTATTGTTCCTCAGTTTCAAAAATAAATCTATAAGTATGCCAAATAAAGCACTAGAAAAAATCTTAGATCCAATTCACTGATTTAATGACTGTATTTCATGATTGGAGTTAAGATACTAAAAGGTCTGGCTGCCTGTTTACTAAAAATTATCTCACCGCATCCAAAGTAATATCTATCTCCATTTAAAAGATATTTTCAAAAAACCTTTACAGTGTTTAGATTTTTGTATTTGTCTACTTGTGTTCAACATCTACAACAAAACTAATTACATGCATAGAAAGAACAAAAAATTTAGAAAAATTGGTCTCATCGCGTCCACTAGTGAAAATAAAGTATTAAGTTCACTAATTATTTCTAGCACTTTATTGCTAATTGAGGTTCAAAAACGTAATTTTATTTCTAGCGCTTCATGTGGCATATTTACTGATTTATTTTCGAAACTGAGGAGCAATAAAGAGGGCTTTGAGAATATTGTACACCACAGGGCTATTAACAGAGGTCAATATGGTCTTTTTTTCTAAGAAATAAACGGCTCAATGTTAACTTTTTATTTCTGATAACCAATTGAGGAGCGCAAGGCAAAATANCGCACTGCAATTGAATTAGCAATCTCAACTTCTCGGCATTGCGCTCACTATTACTTCGCACGATCGCACCTTTTTAAAATAATATAAACATAAGATTGCTTAAATGTCGTCCTCTAATACCAAAATTGTATGGGTCCCACTGTAAGATTTAAACTTTGATTATGTTTTCTAGGTTAAAAGGTCTGGCTAATCATGTTCTAATCCAAAATGGTTCCGTTATACAAGATAATAGGTAGGCTGATGTCGGATTTAATGTTAACTAATATTCACATAGAAGAGGAATTTCTTGACACTTGAGACATTTGATAGATATCATTCTTTATAAAACCCTAGGGAAACAGGTGGCAACTTAGAATGGTGATGGTAAAAGTGTTTAATTTAGACTAACGTGCTTATTCCTTAACTTTGTGTTCTTAATTTTCTTTTTATTTACTGTTTTATTTAATTTTTATTACAAGGATTGGAACTGTGTCACATTTGACACCAGTGTAATGACGTCATGTGAAATTTCTTCAAAATTTCATTGCCACCGTACTGATAATTTATTTGCGTTTTAAATATTTAATATTTAATTAATATTTAATTATTATTTAATTATTATTTAATCATTATTTAATATTTAATTTTTAGAAATTATAGTTTATATTTTTTCAGTGAGGAGAGTAGAAGATATCATTTAGAAAAACTGCCAACTAATCTAAAAACTCGGGTTCTCAAGGAGTTTTGTAAGGTTGGCGTTATAATGGTACCCTTGAACCTTTTGCTGGGCAAAAATTGTCAAGAAATATTTTGCCTTAAAATGAATACCAATAATAATAAATTTAGAGTTTTTTTTATTTCGTTACCCGGTTTTTTATAAAGTGAATTTGTTCGCTAAAGAGAATGGAGAAAATTGACGGAATCATCTGAATATTTCTCATACAATGATCTGATAAAGATTTAAAGGAGCAACTTTTAAAGGTTAAAGGTCTACTGTTTAATTAAAGGATAATTCTAAATAACGTTGAATTTGACTATCCATTTAAACAAAAGAAGATATTTTGTTTAATGCTGTATCATGATTATGATGATATATAGAAAAATAGAAAGTTACCGAAAACCTTTTTACCAGTTTTAAATAAATTTTCGTCAAATGAAATGAATGAGTGAAACTGTTCAAGGATAATGCTATGGATGGGGCAATGGCTTTACTTGAAGGAGCTCGAAATCTAGATCTCACAAATAAAGCTCTCAGGTAAATTTTATATATAATATAAATACTTTACTTGTCTGATTGTTAAGGTTTGTTAAAGGGAGTTTGGCCTTCGTTAAAGAATACATCAAGATTATTTCATCTCATTTAAGAATTTCCATTATTACATTTTTTTCCTTAAATGAACTTCAGCTATTCATATATTTAATTCAAATACTTAAAAAGAACATTGATTCAATGAAAAAGTAGTTTATTTAGGAACAGATAGTTAAGTTGATTGATTAGAGAAGTAGTTCAACTATCTTTATAAATCTGGCAATTGAACTATTTGCTTAAAAACAAACTATTTAATTATGATATCTTAAAAATTTATGTATTCCAAAAAATAAACTGGTTTCTCAGGCTCTAAAGGGAATATTTACAGCTGGTCCAGTGAAGGCTGTGAAGTACAGTGCTGCCAAGCTCAAGAAAATGATCAAAAGTTTAATCAAATAAAAATAAAGATAAATAGAGTTTAACAAATATATTTCATACAGGTTGATTACAAAGGAAATATAATTCAATGATTGCATACAGGGTGATTACAAAGGAAATATAATTCAATGATTGCATACAGGGTTATTACAAAGGAAATATAATTCAATGTTTTCATACAGGGTGATTACAAAGGAAATATAATTCAATGATTTCCCACAGGGTGATTAGTGATTACAAAGGATATTGTTTTTATTTCGTATGTTCATTGTTTACAGCTGTATACTTTTATTTTCTTCTTCCTCACACCATCCATTTTTAACTTTTTAAGAGTTCAAATAATGCAAAATACCGAATTTTTTCATCCATAATTATGCTTACAGGGACTGTAAGCATAATTAATGTGCCCAATTCACATTGTTCCCCTAAGAGCTTTGTTTAGCTTGCAGCTTGTATCAATCAGAAATCTATGTTTCTAAATTTTAAATCTGATTATTTTGGGGTTTCTCTATATAAGTGATTTGTGTATTTCTACCATCTATCGAAAAACATTCAGGATTATCAGAATTTAACCCTTTAAACCTAGAAAAACGACAATATCTTCCACATAAACGATCAGATAAAGTTTTTAAGGTTAATCTTGTCATTAGACATTGTCTTTTTTGCATGGGGGGTCACTTGAAATTTAGCTTATAGTCTCTTTATATTCAGTCATATTTGATAACATTGTATAAAGATTGATGAAGTATGTCACAGTAATAAATAGCTCAATGCCAGTAACAATGTAATTCATTTGTAAAATATTCATAAGTTATATAGTTACTTTATATTTTATAATCAATAGCTTTGACTTGTGTCTATACAGATTCTAAAGTTTGCAATATAACAATAAAAAATTGTTGCATATTTTTTTAAAACCCACATATTTTTTACTTTTCCTCTGTTCCCCCCCCCCCCTCAAGTTTCGCCTGAGTGAAAATTCTTTTGTGCATGATCTCTAATAAATGTTAAAAATCAAATTTTCTACCTATAAAGATAATTTTGTTTGAATGGAATTTAATTTTAAAGTTTGTTTTTGTTTTGTTAGAATTTTAAAAAATGGCCGTTTCATCTGAAGTAAAGGAAGACTATTTTCTTTCAACTATTGGTAAACAGAAAACATTATAATAAATCCAAATAATAGAAAATTAGTATTTTAAATTCAGTTAATAAATTGCCAAAGAGAATAGAATATATTAGTGTGGAATTTACTAGAAAAAAGTGTAAAACGGAAATTTTGTTTTACTGTTTCCATACTGCAGGTGTACTTCATATATTTGTGCTATATAACCTTTTGGGCCCTGGAACATCATTTTTTAGAAAATCTAAAATTAATATTAAAAGAAAACCAAATTATGAAATAGGCTGGTTTCATAATTGACCAATGATCATTTCACATAGACTCTATGCCTTTCACATTACAAATGATGATTTTCCGTTATAACTATAAATCAAATGATGTTTTTTATTCACCTAATTCATTATAAAGTTTATTTAACAGCTTTAAAAAATTCAAAATTGAAATGGATAGTCTAGGGAACATACTGTATTAATGTACTCTACTGCATATAATTTGTGAACATTTACATGATTTGTACACTTTGAACTCCCTTTCAGACTGAAAGGGACTGAAAAATTCATACCGAGAGATTCTCTAAATTCCACTATAATATATATTCTATTCTCTATGTAAATTGTGCAGCACGAACAGTTGGTCTAACTATACTAAACAATCCAACCGTTGTGTTAGACTTGACTTATCAAAAGGGACCAAAGGTTTTGCAGGGCGCTTTGAAAGATAGCCACAATTTCAAATATCAAATTAAAATTAAAGATTTTAAAAACTTCATGGCATCTATTATAACCTAAACATATTGATCATATTTTTTTGTAATATGAATAAACATTCTCACTCACTGGGGTTAAAGGTTTGTGAAGAACTGTGATTTATTGCGATTTCCTCCTAAAATGTAATATTTTGTACATGTCTGCTAATGTTAATTTTCAATAAAAATGTTTTTGAAGGTAAGGAGAAATTCAATCTTTGCCATAAATAGCGCCATAATTTCTAAAATCAGATAGGTAGATAGATAGATAGATATATTTAGATAATTATAAACCGAATTGCACGCAAAAATGTTATTTCTGGTAACATTTGAATTTCTCCCTTCACTTAAAAACATTTCTTATAGAAAATCAACATCAGCATTCAGCAGGCATGCATAAAATATTATATTTTAGAAGAAAATTGATACAGGGGTGCGGCTAAGGAAGCGCTACCGATAAGGGTGTGGCTTGCGGTGTGCAAAAAATGCATTACCTATACACTATACACATGTAATGAAATTATTGAGTAAAGTACGTTTTTAAACGTAACTATGATGAATTTAACTATAAAAAATGAAAATACTAGATTTAAGTGTGTTGAAACATGTCTGATTTAAATTATTTTCATACTTTTTTCAATTTTAGGGGCGGTGTTTGAAAATGAAAATGAAAATTCTGAATCTGACATAAATGATGACCTTTCAAGTAAGCATATCATATTTTCATTATAATATTTTCGTTTTTTTACGTTTCAAAACTGATTGTTTTTCAGCTGTAGAGACAGTATTTGAGATACAGGATTGCGTTGAGTTCCCAAAAAAGAAAATTGTTTTAAGTAAGTCATATTGTAAATATTCTTTTTACATTTAATTTTAAGACGATTTTCTTACTTTGTTCTATTATTAATCTGCTTTATTTTTATTGATTTACTGAAAGCCCTCCTTCCCCGTACATTTTTATACAGTAACGATAATAGTTACTATTAAATTTTTTAATAATGATATAAATATATTAATTTTCTCAGCCTAGGATTTTCAGAATTTAAGAAATATTTATCTTGTCCAATGCGCACCAATAAACATTTCCTGGAGTAATTTTGTGTCACCACAAAACATTTGAACCGATTGGACAACAAGCAGTAAAGCCTAACATACATACTATCCTGGGAACTCAAGCTTTACCTGGAAGCCCATTCTACTTCGAACTTTTAAGCCAAGTTAAGAATATTCCCGAGAACCGATTTGACAACAAGCAGTAAAGCCTAACATACATACTAGCCTGGGAAGTGGGAACTCAGCTTTACCTGGAAACCCATTCTACTTCGAACTTTTAAGCCAAGTTAAGAACATTCCCATCATTCTACTGAGTTCCCCGATCAAAGTTTGAGGCAAATCGGGAATGGATTATTAGTTATGATTGGATAAACAAACAAACAAACACCCATACGTATTATAAAGATTATATAATTTATTATATATATTATAGATACGTTACATAGATCTAGTTGCTTTATTTACTTTTTAGAACATACACTGAGCAGCTCTGTTGACATGGTTGGGCTGCAGGTAAACAACATTTATAAACAAACAAGTTTTCGTAGATTATACAAGAAGAATTGAATTCATTAAAGGGACTGTCCACGTAATTAAAGAGTTACATGCCCGATTCACAAGAGTACTCTATAAACTATTAAGATATTCATGATTGGTTATAAACAGCTTTTGTGTTTAAGGTGTGGCGAGGAGCCTTCCTACTCGCAGATTTTATTCTTCACCATCAACATATATTCAAGGTGTTCAAAAAAATATTTTTGTTTTCGCTTTTTTTTACAACAAAACATGTCATTACTTGGCATTTTTTAAGTTTAGGACTTATTTATAGATTTTTCGGTATTATGTTGATAAATCACCCAATCCATTAATTAGCACCACCTTAAATGGAAAGTAAGCGTAATTTTAAGTGACCCTGCATGGAAAAATAGCAATGCCCTTTTCATAACGGTACCGATGAAAACTTTATCTGATCAATAATGGTGAAGATCAGGACGTTTTTATTGGTTTAAAAGTATTTTATTTTAATAATTCATAAATTTTTGAAATGCGCAAGTCATTTTTGTATATAAACCAAAATTGAAAATAATGAATTTGTAAAGAGATAAACATGGACATCTTATTCATTCTTGATCACACAAAGCTTTTAAGTGATTATAAACATTGATATATAATTTAAACTTGAATTTACGTTAACTGCAGTCCCTTAAAGGATATTTTTCTTATCAGCGTTTTCAAGTTTTTGTTGTTTACATCAAAGAATATGGCTTCACTTGCAATTTTGTAAGGTAGATTTAGGACTTCTTCTCATTTTTTGGTTTAAAATACATGAAAAACATACACGTCCTCTATTCATGTTAAGTGTCAATAAATGTACTTCCACCCCTTTTTAAATCTACGGACCTGCGGATTTTATAATATTTCATCACTAATAGGTTAATTTGATTCAAGGATAAGCTAGTTGTAGAGTTAGCAGGAGGAACGGGGTTCACAGCTATTGTAGCCGGGCTAGTGGCCAAGCAGGTCATCTCAACAGGTCATTAAATCAATCAATCAAATATGTATTAAAGAACATCGGGATTATTGAGATTTTTTTCAGATGTTGACCGAGGAAATATTCTTAGTTTACTTAGCTCAAACTTAGAGAAGAACCTACCTGGAGGAAATGTAGAATGCCGGGAGTTAGATTTCTTTTGGGACGCTTTCCCGGATTCCATAAGTTCAGAACTCCGAGACAGTGACGTCATTCTTGCAGCTGATGTTGTCTATGACAAGAATATAACGCGGCACTTCTTTAAGACAGTTCAAAATATTTTAAACTTTGGCGGGAAAACAATATTTATAGCGATTGAGCGACGCTTGTGGACAGATAATCATGGGAATTTAGTTGCGCCAAATTTTGACATTTTCAAAGAACATTTAGAGGAATTGAGTAATTTGCAAATAAACGAATCTGAATTACTTGTTGAAGAACTGAAAACAGATTTCCCAAAATATTTTGAATACAACCGCGTCCCTGAACTCACATTATGGAAAATAGTTTTGGCAAAGTTATGATTTTTTCAGATGAAAATAGGCAATGTCGACTTTATTTGATAGACAGAAAGCTGACTGTTTTAGGTACGTTTTTAGGCAATTCTGTATTCACTGTTCATATCCAAGTGGGAAAATATCAAATTCTAAAAAAACTTTTTAAAAACTTTTCTCAATTATCTTATTCAAAACTTCCTGAGTTCTGAATGGTCATTTAAGCTTGAGCATTTGCGAGAAGAAGTAAAAATTGCATTTTTTTCTCGAAGCGAAAATGGTGATTTTTATGACAAAGAATTTGTTTGTACAATACAGATCAAAGGTGAAAATGGACTTTATTCATAGCAATGTTAAAAATGAATTTCTTCATTGCACTGTAAAAAAAGAATCTAATGTTTCAGTAAGATTGATCTGAGTAGAAAAGGGAGCATTGACGATCCGATTGTGGATATAATCAAACATCTCAACAACCATCAGGAACAAATGTTCACAAGAATTTTTTATATATTTTAAAATACGTTCCCGAAAAATTTCATTTGAATTTTTGAAGCTATTTTATGCTTTTAAAATTTGATATCTTAATTCTCAGTTTAAAACTTTTAATTTTGGCGTTAATCTTTCCCCACAGTTTGTATCCAAAGCAAAAAGCAAATATTAAGTGTTAATTTAAAAAAATGTTGCTTATAAATTCTTTGAATAATATCTTTAATAACTTGCGTAAAACATGGAATTTTTGGGTATTTTTCTAAATCTTAAAAATATTTTGTTTGTTGATTTAAGAATAATTTGTTGGAAGGACTTCTTCAGTTTAAGTTCTTGTAGTGGCAGGATAGTAGTGTTTGCTGAAGGGGATAGAACTGATAACAAAGAAGAACTAAAGATTATTGACAACAAAGAACTGAAAACATCTGACAAAGACATTGATGAGGACAAACTCAGTATTGTCAAAGTAAGAATTCCAGAATTATTTGATTTCACCTTCAACCTCTTCACACATTTTTCTTATTTAGCTTACGATAAACTTAAAACTTAGCTTCCCGTTTAAGACTAATATATAATTCAGAAAAATAGATTTATTTGGTTGATTCTTATAAATTGGATCCAGAATCCAATTACCTGGATTCAGGGTCCATCTATTTGGCTCTAGGAACCAACTATGTGGATCCTGGATCTGGATTCTTGATCCAGCTATCTGGATCCTGGGTCAACTGCTTGAATCCAGACACTACTTCCAGATCCAGTATCCAATTTTCAGAATCCAGGTTCCAACTATTTGGCTCCAGGATCCAGCTATGTCAATCCTTTGTCTAACTATCTGGATTTAGGATCTAAGTTTTGGGATCCTGGATTCCACTATCTGGATCCAGAATTTCACAGCCAGAGCTGAGATTTATAAAGCTTAAACCAGAGTAAAACAGGGACTCGGGCTTAGATAGAACCCGGTTTAAAATTGGTTCTAGTTCGACCAATAAGAGACTGCTTAGAAAGCTTTCTCTCTGTAGCAGATAAATCAGCTGTGGCAAGGAGATGTAAATTTTGAAAATTCGAACTTTACGTAGATACATTATTTTCATAGTATGTTTATTTCATACCTTTGATAAAATTTGACACTACAAATAATTCCTGAGATTTTAAATGTACAAGTATAAAAGTTTTTACGAAATCTACTAACATCAGCTTTTGACGACCAGAGCCTTAAAGAGCGAAAAACCCAAGGCAGTTGGGTTTTACCAAACTCAGGCCATCCAAAACCCGAGTCTTGACTTACGCTTTACTATGGTCAAAGTAGACGCTAAGACCGGGTTTTACTCGGGTTTAAGCTTTAATAATCGCAGCTCTGAAGGAACCCAACCACTGGATAAAATTTATAACATCAAAATCAAACAGCATTATACTGGGTTTGAGTGGTATTCGTAGACCAAATTGAAATCTCTCTAAAACGGACAAAAGAAGTGTTATCCATATTTTTTATAAGGAATTGTTTACATAGAATATTTTTATCCAATGGAATAGTCGCTAGCATATTGTTTATGTAAATATGAGATAATAATAATAATAATGTTAGTCTGGCTGTGATTGGATTCATGTCTCCCATACCCTGGTAAACCCTGCTGAGATTATCCCAAAAATTAAAGAAAGGTAACATTTTTATTTTTCGTTAATTATAATAAATATAAGGAAGGAATGGTAGCAGTGTGCCTTGAACGTAGTTTCAGCCGACGTGAGAAAACAGATTCTATTTCTATACAAAAAACGTATATTAATATTTTTAAAGAAAAATATATTAGATAATTTAGTTAGGAAAAAGAAATAAAAAATTGTTCTATGATGGGGGGGGGAGGAATATCTGTGGCGTAATTATTAGGCGTAGTTTTGGTTGGTTTTTTTAGATTTGATTTTTTCCGCTCAAAGGAGGTTTTGCCAAAAAAATTAAAATATATATATAAATTAAAATTGTTTGGTGTAACATTTTTTGATTTGATTTAATTTGTGCACAAGGCAAAACTGAAGAGAAATTATTCTTTCTTGAAGCACTTAAATGATCCCTGGAATATTTTTTAATAAAAAAAAAAAAAAGTTTGACTCATATTTTGTTTAAGGTTTGGACAGTCTGGCTGTGTTGTGATTAAGTTTGAGCCCTTTATTCTCCACGTGCAGTGTAGAGATATTAACGCGGCTAAGGAAACAATATTGAGAGTCACAATTATTTCATAAGATGAAATAAATTAAGTTTTTAAGGTTTTTTTGATAAAAATAGTACTTTTAATATTGGAATCATAAATTGAATTAAAGTTAATATTTTTAAATAGGTAATTTATACATTGTATACATTAAAAATTTATATATGCAAATTTTCAGAATTATGATTTGGCAATCATGAAGTTTAGGATAAATAAATTTAAAAATTGAAATATTATTGTTTTGAATAGGAAATGACAGTATTTATTATAAAAGAAAAAAATATTTATATTAGATAAAATTTGTCGATTGTTTGAAGTTAAGAAAAAAACTGTAATGAGCATGATTTATTAATAAAAAATGCATTTTGGTACGCATTTGCGGTGTTTGGGTGAAAAATGTATGTTAAATAAAGAAGATAAAGCAAAAAAAAATTAACATTGACCTTTTTGGCATGTAAATTACAAAGAAGAGTTTACCTGACCCATATTTTCACGCTTTTTCATATAATTGTTTTATTTTTCATTAAAAAAATAGCTGTCGCGTGTCGGTTGAAAAAATAGGTTTTTCTCCGTAAGTTTAGACAAATCTAAATATAAAAATCCACCAATGTAAACAGGAAAATCTCTCAAGTTTTAAGTTTAATATTTTTCGAAGAAAAGCTAAGTAATCTAGAATATTGTTACTCAGTTGGTGCACCTGACTGCGGTAGAATCTGGATTCCGTAACAGTGGCATCACTGTGGGTAGAGCGGGCAAATTTGTTTCAGCTGTACGGTCAACTCACGGCCTTGAGGTCTCATTTTTTACTAAAAAAGGAAAATTGATAAAATTTCCAGGCTTGCAAAATTTTTAGGCTCATTAGTCACAATAAAATGCTTGAGTCAAAATTAAAAAAAAAAAGTTTTTTAAAATGAATCTTAGTAAAGTAGTGATTTTAGGAAAGGCTCAGAGTTAGTTATTTTTTAACAATATGATTTTGAAAAACATAGATATTGCAATTTGTTAAGTCATCTGTTTTAAAAGGTTCCTGTGACGACAGAGGAAGGAGAACTATTGGTTTCTGAACAATACATACAATTCATTCTAAACAAGGCTAATAGTAAACTCAAGGTATCTTAAGACACAAAGATTTTTGGTTTTTAAATTTGAATTGGACAGCAGAATGCATCATGCATACATATAAAAATAAGACCCTTATAACTGTGAAATATGAAGACGACTACTCAACTTATTATTTTAAAAAGTCCAATGAAATAATATTAAAAACAGCAATTTCGCGTAATATGTTGATTTTCAAGCTACTACCGGTAAACATTTTTGAATTACAACATCAAGTACACATTAGTTATATTTAGATTTCGTCTTTTATTGCACAGTCAATCGAGGGGAGGAAGGACAGCCACAACAATTTCTATTCCGAGCCACATTCTCCTCATTTTCTCGTCCGAGCCACCTGTAAATCCTCGTCCTTCCATTAGTATTTTTTTAAAAGTGTCTAGTCCTCCAAGATAAAACAATTTAAACTTTTAAACACATAATAATCGATGGACGAGGATTTCGAGGTGGTTCGGACGAGAAAATGAGGAGAATCTGGCTCGGACGAGAAGTTGTTGTGGCTGGCTTACCTCCCCTCGTCACGCTGTGGGTCTCTCTGTTACGATGTACACTTTACGGTGTACACTTTACAGTGTACACCTACAGAAAAATATCATGATGTCATTTACTAAAGAAATGCAATTAAGCAAAAATGTGAATAAACTGATTCTGAAATCTTGTTAAGATAGACAATAATGATGTTTACTTAGAAATATCACCAGGACACTTCATTATTTAAAGGGATGGTAAGCGGAATAAGTGACCTTTCATGCAGAAATGGCAATGCCCGATTAACAATTGTACATTTTAAACCTTTGTCTGATCAAGTTTGAATCAATGTTTATAGTTTTGAAAGCTGCTAATTTTCCACTTGGGTTTCTCTATAAAGGGACTTGCGCATTTCCACTGGAGAAAAACATACAGGAAATATCAGAATTAAACTCTTTTTAAACCGAGACAACCGACAATATATTCCGCATTATAGATCAGATAAAAGTAAGAAGGACACCGTTGTGAATCAGGCATTGCCATCTTTGAATTGAGGGGCACTTGTTATTAGCTTACAGTCCTGTAACTGATAAACAGCTCCACATAACCCTTCAGATGTTAATTAAAAATGTTTAGGAGAATTTCAGTAGAATCGAGAAGTTCTACGAAAAATTAGGAGAATTTCTTTCTGAGGAGAAGAAAGGGACAGGAAAGCAGAGGAAGAAAGATTTAAGGAAAGAGGAGAGGATTGCTAAGGACCGGAAGAAGGTGGAGGAGAAAGAGATAATTGAGAACAAAACTGAATCTAGTTTAACAGCCCTGGAAGATCTGTTTGTCTAGAAAACGATGGATGTCACGTCTAAACAAAAGAAAAAAATAATAAAGGTTCGGAAAAGAAAAGCGTGTTTAATACATTAAACACTTTCTAGTTTAAACTTAAACTTTTCTATTGTGCTATAAATCTTTTAAATTCTTAATTTTCTCCAGATTTTTTCTCTCAAAAAAATAATTTTTGAAACTTGTCAATTTTCTTATGAAGCTATTGATAATTTTCTAATTTTTTCTCTACATGTTCAAATGGGGAAGGAGATTCTGACTAAGAAAGCACTGATCATTGATCAGTGATCAATTCTGATTTTTCTAATATTAAGATGATCTTAGATCTTTTCTATGATATTTTCAGTACATAATTGATGATCGATACAAAAAGTTAATAAAATATATCACAAAAGAAGAGTTGCAGTTAAATTCCATCATTAACAGAAAAGGTAAAAAAATTCAAATTTCTAAAAAATCAATATTTCGTATTTTAAGTTTAAAAATGATTAATTTGATTATTTATTTGACAAAAATTACAAAAATTAACCCTAAAAGCTACCTTAAAAAAGTCTTTCTCAGTGCGGATCCTGATATGGATTCACATCATACTCTAATTGCTCTTAATCACTGGGTTTAATATTTGTAGGTGAGAAGATGGTGCATATATGTGCACGGGAGGGGTCAACCAATTGTCTGGAAGCACTGATTGAAAAAGGAAACAACAAACATTTGCATAAAATTGATTGTGAGGGTCGTAAATTGAACAATTTTTCAAGTTTTAAAGATATGACTGAACATTTCTTATTCATTATTTATAAATAAAGCCGTTTAATTTTCTTCCCAGCTCTTTTAGTAATAATATGATAAATCTACTGTCGTTTGATCGATTGATGGAATTTGCACTGAGCTGGGAACTCTTGTATTGTGGATATCGAGATCAATGCCTGCTCTTGATCTCTTGTTAATCTGCTGATAAGTTTAATCTGTATTCAATATCCCGCATGGTAATGGTACCCGGATCACGCACCTCTGCCACTTTAGTAAAAGTAAATTTGCAACCTATAGAAAGCATAAAGTCTGACCGCGTCAACCTTGTTGCACCGGCTAGTCCTGTCCTCGTCCATAGATCTAGGTACAGTACAAACTGGGACCGGTAAGGTTGACCCGGCTCGGAAATTCAAATGCACTATGGCTGCCCGTGGGAAAGGATATGTGAAATGAAGCATTGATCCTCAAATTAAAATGGCCAACACAAAAGTTCCCAACTCTGATTTGATATATTCCAATCTCTATCAATTGACATCTCCGAGACACTGCTAAATAGAGATTGTTTGTTGGTAAGGAGCTGGAGTGAACCTGGTGGATAAAGATGGAAATATTCCTCTTCATTTAGCAATCCAATATACTTTAGAAAACTACTCTCCTACCCTGGAAAAAGTAACAAAAAATCATGATATTTTTTTTGGAAAGTTCAACCCTTATGCAGTTTTTTCTTTTACTTCAGAATTTGGTCGGAATCCTTCTTACATATTCGAGTAGTTTCATCAATAGACAAAACCATCAGGTAGTTTATTGTTCTTTGATAAAATAAAAATTCGGTTGATTCTAGACTTGATTTCTGATCAGTAACATGCATTATTTTATTATAATTAATGCATTTAACTCTTAAGGGTGTATCTCCCAAGAATCTGATAGATCAGCTGAATCAGCTGAAGGCCCCGGCGCACGTGGAGAAATCACCGGAACTTGTTGAGTCAGATAGCGACGATCAAGTGTACTCTGACAAAAAATGGCGGGAAAAGTTGCAGTACGAATGTGATTACGAATTTGAATCAAATCTAGGAAAATATGAGGTGAAATTCTAAATTAAGAAGAAAGGCTTTTCATTCTAGAATGTCAGATATTCAAGCTGGGTCATAATTTAAATTTTGCAGTCAAATTGAAGAAGCTGTTCCATGTATTAAAAAAGAATATTTTTAGGACGAAGATCGTTATTACAGCTGCAATGCCGAATCCTATGACAGTTGGGCGGATAGAATATATAGTGCATTTTCTTCAAGGTAAAAATTAAACATTTACTCAAGCTAGGAGTCATGCTTTTTTTTTCTCCCTGGTATTTTACCAATGTTGAGCATGTACTGATTATTGTTAATCTATTTGTATTACTATTTTTAAAGTGTTTTAACAATGTTTAGACAAAAAAGTTTGTATGCAAGCAACTACAAGAAAAAAGCCAAAAAACCAGTGCCTGCAAATACAGAGGAAAGAAAGCGTACGCTAAAGCTTGAGCAGGACCTGACGCAAAGCAAGGAAAACGCAGCAAAATTACGAGAACGACGCAAGCTGGTTAGAATCCAAGAAATGTATCGGAAACTGTTTGAAAGTTTAGAAGAGATAACTGTAAATGATATTCCCTACGAAGGGATGGAGCCGCCCGAAATACTAGACATTATGATACAGGTAAAATTTTTCACTTTTTGTTCAAGATATGTTCATTGTAAATGTTATTTATTATCTGCTTCAGAAGAAGTTTTTGCTAATCTTACTCATTTTCCAAAAAAAACACATTACATTAAGTATTAAAATATTTTAAAGTTGAAGAAAAGACAAGATTGTCTAAACTAACACGCAAAAATTCGATAGGAACGGAAAACCAGAAATATTTATTTCCCATACATTTCAAAATGCTGAATTTGCTTTTGGGCCTCGGGGAAAGGATTTAAAAGAGATAACCAACATTAACAACGGATTGGCGTCTGGTTTATGATTTTTCTACATCTCAAATCATATTTTTCAGGACAGACCAAGGACCTGTTAAGACAATCTCTAGCTTCTTGATTTGATTTGATTTGATTTGATTTGATTTGATTTGATTTGATTTGATTTGATTTGATTTGATTTGATTTGATTTGATTTGATTTATTTTCTTCTATTAGTTCAAATATTGTCTGGCTTGATTTATACAGACATTTTTACTTTAGGTATGGAATTTCTTCTGTCTGATTTTTCATTCCAAATCTTATTCTTATTCCATTACTTAGTCATTTAACAGCTCATAATAAGAAGATTTTACCTTTGCCACAATTTAAACTCAAACTTTCTAATTCCTATAGTTTTGCAACTTGATGTAGTAAACCTTTGATATTTCAAACATATATTATATGATACTATACAATTCATAGTTTGAAATATCTAAGGTCTACGACATTGTGTTGCAAAGATATAGGCACTAGAATAACAGAGTTTGTGGCAAAGATTAAATTCCTTTTGCCTTCAAATGATCGTTCTGTTCAGACCCTGGTCATTACTGAAGTCGTATTCTTTGTGGGTTACCCTGTAAAATAAAAATAATATCGATTCGTTGGTGAAAGTTGAATACTCAGAAACTTGGTTCTCGAGTTATGATCGGGGATCTGGAGGAAGTTATGAATAAGGAATATTGATTGAAATAAGATTTTTTTACTTCGGGTATAAAATCTCATGAACTCCCCCCACCTCCTCCCGCGGGGTGATTTTTGAAGAGGTTAAACTGTAAATATCGAGGCTGGAGCAAACCTTTATAACTTTTATGTTCCAAATGTATAAGTTTTTCAAGACCTGCTTTTTTAGGCATAGTTTTTTAATTATTGAAAATTGGCGACATATGTCCAGTGTTTGAATTAAACAGTGTGTTGGAGGGTCTTATTTTGCTTTTAAATTCTTGTTTATCTTTAATTTGTTAAATTTGAGGACAATTGTTTGTTGTTTTGCTTTTAAATTCTTATCTATTTTCTAAGAAAAATCAATCAATATAATTGTTCAGGTTAAAACTATTGCGCAAGCTTTAACTAGTTTTGCCAAGTAATATAACTATCAAATACACAGTTTTTTTTAATGATGACAGTAAAGATCAACCTCCTGTTCATTATTTGATGTAGATTATCATGTTTATTATTTATTTATGTTTTAATTTTCTGATCAAGAGTGTAGAGAATGTTCATCCTATAATAGGTTTACAGCGCGCTTTAGGTCACATTTTTACTTTAAATTATACTTCTAATTCGTAATAATAACTAATTTCGAGATGGATTTCCAAAAAGTTTAAAAATCTAATTGTTGACATTTTATGAGGTGCCACAAAAATGTTGGGCCTGATCAGCTTTGCTGTTTTGACGCTTTCTCGATACAAAAAAATAAAACAACAGGCATCAAAATAAATATTATATAGTTGGTAAGCTTATTAGTTATATAGTATATATATGTATTGCGGAAAATGATATAAAAAATATTTTCAAAATGGTGTCGATTTAAAAAATCCAATTTCTACTAAACTTTTACACCCTTCGTAAATTGAGTCCCAAAACGTGATATAAAATAAGTATGTATAATTTATATATTTTTCTAGGTTAAATGTCTCATTAATAACTGTTGTGTCACCTCCCTGTAATAACATTAACATTAATTACATAATTATTTGATTTATTACAAGTTAGCCTACCCGAGGTTTGATTGTCTATTAGGTTAATTGTGTGCAGGGTTTACGGAACAGTTTTCTTTCTGATTTATCTTTTTGATTAATGCTTTTGTCAAGACTTAATTAATTATTAATATATTTCTTTTCATTGACATTGTAGTTTTTATGCTAATGTATAGTTACGATTATAGTTTAGCGGGAGGGGAGGGGGGACATTTTGCCCCTGGCCCCTTTCCTCATAATCCCCAGTCCACTGTAACTTTTTGTAGATGTGTTTAAACCTCAGTAAATTTTACATGAAAATATTTTGTCCATATCAAAAAAGTATTTTCAAAGTTTCATTAAGCTTTCTATGATAGTTAAGGGTTTTGCTTTAAAATAGACTAAATAAATTGGACATTAGGAGTGTTATTTAACCCAATCAGAGTCCCCAGGCATTATACTTCCTCAAAGCCTTATTTTAACTATACCAGACTAAATTTACTTTTAGACCTTCTTTCAGTCATAGAATTTCAAAATTGTACAGCTCTTTGGAAAGCCTAAAACAAAAGCAAGAAGATTGCACAATTGTTGCAAATGTATTATGCTCATTAAGGTTTTAAGAATTTTGCAAATGTTTTTAAATATTTGAATTCGCTGAGGTTTTTAAAAATTTATAATTTGTTGCAATTTGCACAATTGTGTTTTTGCACATTTTTTGCTTAATTACTAGATTTCGCAATAAATATTTGGATTTTTGCAAAATTGCCATTTTTTTCTGCAGATTATTAAAGTAGAGTCTTCGGGCTTTCCAAAAACGTGTAGTAATTCGAGCTGACCGGACATGTCTTTGAGCTCCTGGATTTAACTGACCGACAACACAACATCTGGTTGATAAATTCACATGCTCCATACTAAGTGAAAACACAAACACTCGGATAGCTTATTTAGTGCATTTTTTCAAGTAAAAAAATAATTCTACGAGACTCAAAATTGACATTTGGTCTGATAAGGGATCTAGAAGAACAATTGGAGAAGTTGGAAAATTCAAAAGAAAGTGAAGGGTCCCAATGGAGTAAAGTGCAAGGAAAGGATAGAAAGGCAAAGATGAAAGTTAAGGGAGGGATTGTTTATGCAAAGATAGATCCTACGGATCTAAATTCTGTTCGTTCTCTCATTGTTCAGGCTATCACAGTCTTAGTTGACCAGCAGGATATACTAAGAGAACACAAAGTAAGAATTGATGATCTAGTAAGGCAAAGTAGAGCACAAGGTGACCTTCTTGATGAGATTCAACAACGCTCCATGAAGGGAAACCTCATAATTTCAAATATAAACCTTGCTTGATGAAACTTCAGGAGAAGCCTAAACAGGAGAAAGTTACTTCACAGCTTATGCCTGTCAGTTGATCAAAACTAAATATAATTTCATTGTTCCAGAAAATAACATACAAGCATGTCACTATCTACCTAACAATACCATCCTGGTTAGGTTCTGGAACCGAAAGGAAGGGACAGCCTGGGATCACCTCACGACTGAGATCAAGAAGGGAGGGAAGAAGTAGTTTGGTCATGTCAATTTTCACCTTACAAACAAGAGAAGCAGCCTAATGTATCATCTCAGATCCATGAGGAGAGAAGGTAAAATCAGGAAACTATTCTCTAAGGAGAATGGGCAATTAGGTCTTAAAGTGTCTGATTCAAGTGAAAAGAAAGTCATATGCTTTATGCCTGACCAGAAATACGTAAATGGGCAATTAGGTCTGTCTGATTCAAGTGAAAAGAAAGTGATAAGTTTTATGCCTGACCAGAAATACGTAGAACAGATAATGAATACATAATTGTTGAAGATACTGACAAAATGCATATGAATGTTGATTTAGATGGATACAGATGAAAGAGTGATTCTGTGAATTTGTGTAGAAGAACATTGGATTGGATTGGATTTAAAATAATTTATATCTATGAATGGATTCAAGAAATTCGTGGAATTAGTCGAAATGAAGGAGCAATGTGCATTCAAAATTATAGTCACCTTTTTAACATTAAGTTTTAGAACTTGAATATGCCTTAAAAATATATATTCTTACGTAAATTCCAAAAATTGAGAAGTATTAGGATTTTTTTAAACCTAAATCTACGTACAGGAAAATCCTAAAGTTCATGATTCATGGGATTTTTAAAGGCTTTTTTACATACGCATTTTTATGTTTGTCATATTCGTATTTTTACGGATAAAAAAACATATTTTTACCAAGAAAAAGGTTAGGAAAATATATGGAAAACATGTATTTTTATGTATTCCAACCTAAGAATATTTATAGATACGAATGTTATATCGACGCGAATTGCTGCAAGTAGGTAAAATGAGGTTTGGAAGCTGTGCAGGGGAGGTTGCCTTCCCTCCCTCCCCCCTCCGACCAGGTATTTATAAATAGGAATCCGTCGAAACTTTTTCGACTTATTACCGCCAAACCCCCGACCAGTAAATACATAGGGTTACCAACAAAAGATGAGCCTGTTATCATGACCTTAAACTTAAATTTACAAGGTCCACTTTAATTTTTAACCTTTTTTTAAATACATAAGTTTCTTTTCAAGAGATGAAACAAGGAAACCAATAATAGGTGAAAAAGAATGAAAAAATTATGCACAGTCGTCCTTGAAGTTTCATCCTGTAACCCTGTATTTAAAATTTACAATGGTCAGGACATTTTTTCTTATCAAATTTTTATTTTATTGTTTTTGGTTTTGCAATTCTGAAACAAATGAATCAAAAATTCATGTTGTTTATAAAATGTCTGAAAGATTTTAATTCAAAAAGTTTTTACTAAAATGGATCACTTAAGCTTTTCTAATTATTGTACAAGGAACAATGTAAAATTTTGGAATAAGTAGTTGATAACTCAGAATTTTGTATTCAAGATATTTGAAGATAAAATGAAATTAGCCAGTCTTTTGATAATTATAGGAGTCTTTAAAAACAGTAATGGTAAGAACTTTTTTTTAGGGTTTTATTCTAAACTCTTGTTTTTAATTCCAATCCCTAAAATATCTTATGTCACATAATGAAATATAAGTTTTGCAACTTCTGACCCAAGGGAACTTTTTACTTCACTTTAACTTTCAAATATGTTTAGTGTTATTTCGCCTATAAATGATGTGGGACTTGTGGATTTGCACCCTTAGTTTGTTAATGTATTTTCATTTAACTCTTATCTCTCACTTAATGTGTTGCACATGTCTCAGGGACGTGCTAAAGATTTATTGAACCTCAGAGTAATTGTTCTTTTTATAATTCAAGGTAGTAGTAGGATCATTTTATGTACAACAACCTATAGAGATCAGGATCACTCACACCTAGCGATCTTAAGTTTAAATCTAGATTAAACTTTTTATCATAAAAAAAAATATTTTGACATTTTTCAGGTTCAGGTTATATTTTCTCGGTATAGTTCAAAAGTTTTTTATTAGAAATATACCTGTGTCGGATTTAGAATAAACACGATCCGTGGAGCATAGTATAAATATTTATGCAGGGAGATCTTCCATGCACTTCAGGTTCTAGAAATAAGAATGTTTAAGCGTCTTTTCCTATAGCTGAAAAGTGTGAATATGTTTGGTAAAATTCATTTTATAAATATATATCTGTACCTATTTATTTAAAGCTGAGCTAGATCAGCTGGTTACAAACTACACTACAATAAAGATAAATCAAGGCCTTTAGATTACATATGATTAAGTATGAGTAATAGGAGTAAATATTTTGTTATTTGTAGATTATTAAATACCTTGACATATAAAATCATATTAGGAGGATTATGCGTCCTACTTGTTGAATCTTGCGTCCTTCTCCGTCACGGAACTTCTCTTGGGGTTACCAAGCCGTCTCCTATAATAGTGTATATTTTACAAATGGCATTGCATAGAACAATAAAACTGTACTGATTGTTCTATCTTTATTCAGTGGAGTCTGAAAACTTCTTGATAGATAATAGATAATATGGTGGTAGGCTATTATATCAATATAAAAAAGACAACTTATGATTTTAATTTTCATTTTTGATTTTATTTGATGCTTTTTTAAGGCGTGGATACCCAAACACATTCAAGTCGAGAGATGCAATCAATTAAAAAAGCTTATATTTGATTACTTGTTAACTTTGAATTCGAAAAAAACTTGTCAATAATCAAAACCTAAATAAAAATGTTGTCTTCATTGTTTTTATATGATCGCCTACCACCGTATGTAATCTGAAATTAATTCTAGGAGCATTATAACTTCTTGATATCTATCTGTGCTAATCTATAATTAATTCTAGGAGCAATATAACTTCTTGGTCTATCTGTGTTAATCTATAATTAATTCTAGGAGCAATATGACTTCTTGATCTATCTGTTTAAACTATAATAAATTCTAGGAGCAATATAACTTCTTGATTTATCTGCAGAATATGTATATTATTTTAGGGTCAATAAAACTCTTTTTTTCTATCTATGTAATCTGTGATCAATTCTATGAGCAATACAACTAACTATCTGTGTAATCTATAAATACTTCTATAGGATCAATACAACTTCTCGATCTATCTGCGTAATCTGTATATAACTCTAGGGCCAATACAACTTATTGATCTATCTGTGTAATCTGTGAATAGTTCTAGGAGCAATACAACTTCTAGATCTATCTGTGTAATCTGTAATTAATTCTAAGACCAATACAACTCTTATCTATCTGGTTAATCTGTATTTAATTCTAGGGGCAATACAACTTCTTAATCTATCTGTGTAATCTTTAATTCTAGGAGCAATACAACTTTTTGTTCGATCTGTATAATCTGTAATTAATTCCAGGATCAATACAACTTCTTGTTTGATCTATTTAATCTGTTTTTAATTCTAGGAGAAATACAACTTCCTGATCTATCTTTGTAATCTGTATTTAATTCTAAGAGCAATACAACTTTTTGTTCGATCTATTTAATCTGTAATTAATTCTAGGAACAATACAACTGATTGATCTATCTGTGTAATCTTTATTTAATTCTAGGAGCAATACATCTTCTTGATCTATCTGTGTAATCTGTATTTAATTCTAATAGCCATACATCTTCTTGATCTATCTGTGTAATCTATATTTAATTCTAAGAGCAATACAACTTGCTTGATCTTTCAGTGCATTTTGTAATTAATTCTAGAAGCAATAAAACTTCTTGTTTAATCTGTGCCTTTTGTAATTAGCTCTAGGAGCAATACAAGTTCTTATTCTATCTGTGCATTTTGTAATTAATTCTAGTAGCAATACAACTTATGGTTCGATTTGTGTATTTTGTAATTAATTCTAGGATCAATACAATTTCTTGATCTTTATGTGTAATCTGTAATTAATTCTAGAATCAATACAACTTCTTAATCTATCTGAGTAATTTGTAATTAATTCTAAGAGCAATAAAACTTCTTGAACTATCTGTTTAATCTGTAACTAGTTCTAGGAGTAATACACCTACAACTTCTTGTTCTTTCTTAGTAATCTGTAAATAATTCAAGGATTAATAAAAGTTCTTCATTTATGTGCTCATTTTTACCTATAGGAGACCAGGTAATAACTACAAACATAAGAGCGAGCATGAACTCTTTCTCTTCGGCTCACCTCTATTTGGGACTCAACCGTGAACTGAAAACACAATAAATCAGTCCAGGGTTAATTAATTTTACAATAAAACAGAATTCTAGCCTTTAAAAATAAAACTTTTCCAGGTAAAACATTCAATTTTATATAACAAATACTTAATTTTTAATAAAGAGAAAAATTCACTTACAATGTTGATTTGTCCGGAGGTTTGTAGCCTTTAGTGTTTAGAATGCACCACAGTCTCGGGTACAAGAACTAAATATGAGCTTTATAGAGTTGAGTTGAGATCTTTATGTGTATCTTCAAATATCCTTCTCAAGTTTTAACTTTCTCACAGAGATCACAAGAAGTGTGATTGAGACTAGTACCTGTATTTGATCTAGAGGAGCTTAGATCAGGGAAACAGAGTAATCATTCCATCGGAGATACCATAGAACAAGGAAACAACCAAGCCAAGGTTGTAGGAGGTCTGGTACCTAGAGATGGAGACGTCTCTAGGATACTACCAGAGGAAGCGTAGAGGATTATGCAAGCGTCCCAAAGACACAGGAACTCTCGGACTCCGTTGAGACTGGAGTCTTGTATACGCAGAGAATTCATGACCCACCCAAGGCACAGGGGGTCAAGATTATTAGGTGAGAGTAGAGTAGAGCATCTGCATCCCAGAGACCAAGGATGCAGATAGGTTTAGCTCCGCGAGCCAGCGGAGAGAACTGAACCATCTCAGGAAGAGAACTGAACCATCTCAGGAATCAAACACACAGGGGAGACATCTGCATGTTGAAGAGGAGTGGAACTTATCCGCGAGTCAGCGGAGTAAGTCAGGTTACATATCAACGGGACTCAGAGCCAGCCTAGCATAAGAGTTGTTGAAGTGGTTGTGAGAATTCAGGATAATTTGTAAGCTCAACTTTTAATGTTCATAATTAATCACCTGGTTCAGTGCGTGGAGGCATGCACGGAACTTTTGAGGGAGGAATTACAATTATCACAACAAATCTATACATATTATATAAACCATCCGTTAGAAAAGAGTCAAGCAATATGGAGTAAAAGTTTCCATGTGAACATTTAAATCACGGATGATTTATAAACCTGGAGAAAGAGAATGAAACCAAGTGGGAGGGGTACAACTAACCCATCTTGGTCTGAAAGACAAGACCTATTATTAAAACTAAAGTGGCTAGACTTTTAAGCATTTAAAAACTTATCGACAATTCTGTTTTAAGACATGTACGATAGTAGAAAATTAGACTCAATTTCAAGAATATAAAATAGGCTTCAGAAAGGTTTACATCAAAATCTTAGATTGGTAGTTTGAATGGTAAGATAGATAATGGTAGATTCAATGTATTTGTAGAGATTTGTAGGATAAGTTGCTTGAAGATAGGGGTTCTCCGTAGGACAAGCTGGAGAACTTCTCGACTTTGAACACCCTGAACACACATTAGTTTATAAAGATCCACAGATCTTACAATTTATCTGTGAAATCCGTGTTTATTCAAGTATCAATAAAATTCTTAATCTATCTTTTTAATCTGTAATTAATTCTAGAATCAATACAACTTCCTGATCTATATGTGTAATCTGTAATTAATTCTAGGAGCAATTCAACTTCTTGATCTATCTGTGTAATCTGTAATTAATTCTGGAGCAATATAACTTCTTGATCTATCTGTGTTTATTTTAAGGAGATTGTACTCGAGCAGAAGCAAAGCAGATTGAAAACCATTGCTGGATAATGCCTAGCTTTAAGGTCAGTACACATCAATTAAGGGGTGTACATTTTCTGGAAAAATCATTCCCCCCTTATTGAATATTATTGATTTCACCAGGAGTTAGGTAATTTTTATTAGTGCTTTTTTGCTGATTTACAAAAACAGATGATTTTAAAGGGAAAATGATCAGAAATCATGTTCCCATCTCTAGGGCGATTTTTGAAAATATACTCCCCTTCCTCATTTTACCAAAATAATCTTGTTTTATACTTTATTTGAAATTTAAAATTGATTCTGTTAAATGTTACTGCTTTTGACCAAGATACGCTACCATGTAATACAATATTATGTTATATCAACGATCAGAAATCCACATGGTGGGGTACTAAAGTTTGCTGAAAAATCTATTCCCTTTTTTAAAAATCCCCCCATCCTTCATTCCTAAATATTTATAGGGTGTACCAATAAACATGGTAATTGAGTTACAAATTTTAAATCGTGTCTGTAACATTTCTGCAAGATAAAGAGCAAAGTAGAAGTCTGAATTGATTTGATTATTTTTTTTAATCTCTGAAACTATGATTATAAAATAACTGATTTAAAACAGGAGACATGGTCTAAATCTAAAGACTACTGTGCTGGGTGCGGAATGAAGTTAGCATCAGTGCTTACTGAGGTAAAAATTTAGTGGTTTCCATTTATTTCCATTTTCATTGACAAAAATATAAAGGTATTGAATATCAAGACTAGAAAAAAGTTTTTTTATACCAGAATATTTGAATGGATCAAATAGGATTCCTGGCATTTAAATACAATATTATTTCAAACTCTCTTTTATTCACATCAAGGACATCGATTTTGTTGCAAATTTTTAACCATTGAACATGATTTTATAGAACCAGACTGCTTTGAAAAATTGCATCAATTTTCAAGACACGGTCAATACCTTGGCCTTAGATTTTACTCTCACTAACACTTCTTGTAGCCCTAGGCATATTCATTTAAATGTACTGGTTTTAAACTTTTTTTTATGAAGCAGTAGACCTTTTCCCCTACGCTTAAACGTGAGAAGAGAGATCAGGACTGAAAACCAGAAGGTTTGAGATCAGGCACAATCATACTGCTCTCAAATAGATCTCATGCAGACATGCCTGGAGGTCTCTCCTATATTGATACATGAGTATGCTTCTGCAGATTCATCCTCTGTATTTCCGAGTGACCTTACTCCTTTGATCTCTAGTACCGAAGTACTGATTGTAACAGCTTCTGCCAGCTCCTCTTCAGATGAAACCTCATCTACTTATATCTTCTCCAGATAGATCTCTAATGGATCTACCAAGAACCTCTGAATCTCCAGTTTCTCATGCCAGGCCTAACTCCAGGAGAATCAATGAGGAGGGAGAACACCGTCCTCCAGAAATGATTGAGAGACCTGGAGGTCTTCCAGTGATTAAATACTGTCCTCAGACGGATAGACCAGAGCCCATTGCATATACTCTGCCAGGATTGAATGCCTCCCAGAGAAAATGAATGAACTACATGAACTTGGAGAACTTGTGAGAACTTCATCTTCTAAATATTCCAGACTTAAGTGGACAGAAAGCACTAAACCCCCTGCAGCTACAGTGGGTCGTGCAGCTCTTTCTTGCCCCAAGACTTCAGACTCAGATTTGATGGATAATCCATCCCAAGACTCAACTTGTTCCAGTTCGACCTCCGAGTCCAGGACAACTCCAGGAGCACCTAAGACTCAGGACAGAGCAGCAGCCAAACCATCCCTAACTAAGTTATGAATCCTGACCAGGAGCAGCCAGAACCGATGTAGTAGATTCATAGAATCTTCTGTGATCCTAGTTGATATTGAGGATGATGATGGTGGAATCCTGATCACGGCTTACAGAAACCACCAGGCTACAGGACAATGTATAGCTGCATTAGAGAGACAGTTTGAAGCCTTCCATGAACACTCTCTCCTCTACAATTTAGACCTCTTTGCTCCCCAGCCTATTCCTGTTCATGCTCAGGGGATGGTGGAGTTGGCACATTTGATGTGGGGGGGGGGGCCT